CAATAAACCAAGAAATATGTTTTGGATTGTCTTTTAATAACAATAAAATGAGATGTGTCTGTATATATATATGTTATAAATTTCTAAAGTTGAATATGGGGAAACAAGAAAATAATCAAAATGACCATTGTTCTCAAATTATGTGGACAGATAATATTTATCAAACAATCATGATCCATGAAAAGCAACACTTAAATATGCGAGGAAAGAGTGCTATTTTGTGTGTCTGAACAATGGTGCACACTTTGTTAAATATAGAGACACCTGCAACATGTACTGTATAATGCTGCTAAAAATATAATGCTAACTTTATTAGTCAAGGCACTAATACAATGATTTACTGCGTAAGCAGTCATAATAAATATTCGTTAGAGATCATTTTATTTTCTAAAAATCCTAAATAGTTAAACAAAAAAACATTCCAGTTTTGTTTAGACAGTGTTTTCGGATAAATTAAACATGAATATCGAGATAATAAATTGAAAGTGGTATTATAAATCGTTGAAAGAAGAAAATGAGATCAGGTTGAGAAAGAAAAGGTTGTGGTGTTATCCTTCTGCTAACTAACTTGGAAAAAAAAAACTATTTGATCTAACATATAGTTGGAGCCGGTTCTATATTACAAACTTAGAAACAATAAAATGAATTCGGCCGACTATTCCAAAAACATGAGGATTTTATAGATATAATTTCAAGACTCAAACATATGTATATCCAATTTCTGATTGTTCTTTTTTTTTAACTGATGTTCTTCTTCTTTTTTGATTTTTATCATTAAAGCTACGTAATATTTTGTATCATTACTGATCCTTAAATCGCGTCCAGCCCTAAAGCACATATACTTCACTATCTAAATATAGCATATACTTTTTGTCTAAACTTTTCTGTAGCTCTGCCGCTATATGTACTGTCGAAGATCTAACATATGATAAAAAGAAGAAACTAAAGTATGAGTGGGAAAAGATGAAAAAGATGAGGAAAGCAAAATGATGTTCACAAAGAAGGATTCGACCAAGAAATGTCTTTCGCAGTCAATGGAGCATTCCTTTTTCTTTATTTATTGTATAAATTCTAAACTATAATATGATACTATAAAACAACCATAAATGGTCGCAAAAGAAAGATGTTAATGGCGGGGGAAGGGAAAAATATGTGAACATCGCATCATCTGCATGCCACGTCGCGCAACTAGAATGATCTAGCACATGCTCGATTGCTTCTTTTCTAATAATAAAATAGAAAATTTAATGATAATAGCACCATCATTATTGCAAGAGTAATTAAGATGTGAAATAATTAAAAAGTAAGGTGTGAGAACAGCATATAAGAAGTACTATCTCAGACCTGTGTGTGTGTAGCGAGTGACCTTACTCCAGCAGCCTTTTACCACTTTTGTTTCAGACCTATGTTTTTCCTCTGAATTAAACCACTTGCTATGTTTTGATTAGGTGATTAGTTCGGCTTTATCTTTTTATTTTAAATTATTTATTTTTAAATCATTAAATTTTATCAATTATATCATAGTTTTATTTGAAAAAGTTAATACTTACATCAAGTTTTATTAACTTTTACTAATTATGTTTTAGTTTACTTTTAAAACTACCGTAAAAAAAATTAAGTAAATCTTTTTATTATATATTTTAAACAAAAAACCTACATCTTTTTTAATAAACTGTACAATTTGTAAACACAAAAAACTATCTATAATATCAAATAAAAAGACAACAAAAATTATTTATAAATAATTTAATTTAACTTGGGTGTTTTCTAAATTATTGAAATATTTTAAATAATAGAAAAGCTATTCACATATCAAATTTTAAATAATAATCAATTTTGATAATTTATAATAAATTTTTAATATAAATTATGTTACTTGATAAAAAAATATTATATATATATATATATATCACATATTTTATTTTAAAATATCTATAGCATATAGTTTACATATAGAATAAATTTAATTAAAACAAAAATCTCTACAAAAAAATCTACAATAATAATTTTACATCTATAACCAATCTATCCAAAGCTAAAGTTTTACAGTTAATTTTTATATGCATAGAAAAAAATTCCAATTATTTGTTCAGTTCATCTTATATTTGATAAATATTTGAATACTATTGAATAATCCACAAACAATACAATCATAAACTACTCTTAAGTTGTAAATAGATTTAGAAATATTGAATATAATTTAAACGTTTATTTATTAATTTAATTAATAATTAAGATATATTAGTTTTATGAAAAATCCTGTGCGTTTAAAATATAAAGTATATTGTTTAATATATTTTTACATGCATTATTTTAATAATTTTCAAAATAATATATAAATTATTAAATTGTATAATCATTTTGGTTTAGTAATACAATCTCCCTTATGCAATATATAAATTCAGTAATATTTATGTTTTTGTTTAAAATAGTACTATATTTCATAATAGATGCTGTTTTCCAACATTGCACACATATTAAAAAAATTATTTTCTTCTAAAAAGATCAATAAAATATAATTTATATTTAGAATTATTTAATTATAAATATAAATAATAAAATTGCAATTGGTTAAACAGTTTTTCATAAAGTCAAAACTACCTATATATTTTACCTATGTATTTAAAAACATTATCTATTGTCAAGCAACAAAATCACCTAAAACATCATCTATATTGAAATGGACAAAATATAATATTAATTTATAATAATATTTTTATATTATGTGAATTTAGTTAATAACCTAATAGTAAAGAATCAATATATTTTCTTAATAATTTTTATAATTAAAAATTAAGTATATATTTATAATTAAGTAACATATTAGTAGATATTGTTAGTCAATTAATTATTAACAAACTAGTTAACTATATATTAATTGTTTTTCTTGTTTTCAATCAAATTATATAAAAAATTGAATGGCAGATTCCATTATATTTTACATAAAAACAGTATTATTTTTATAGTATACAATTCTTTTAATAGATTAGATGTTCCCGTCATGCCTTTTATAATTTTACCAGATATAATTTATACGTGTGCTATCATACTTTCATTCAACTAACATATAAAGGAGGCTCCGGAGTCATATATATGGGTTATGTGTGTGTTTTGTTTATTTATTATCATTTAACCCTGCTTTATCAGTTTAAGCTAGACAAATCGCTAAAACTATAACGGTTGACATCAATGGTAAGTTCATGTCAAAACGTGTATGGCTTTTTCTTAACTTGCATGTTTTTTTTTTTGTTAAACTTTGAACTTGCATGTTACCGTATCAAAATTGATATACTCGCCATTAAATCAAGTAATGATTGTTCCATAGTTTTTAGATTTTGGTTTTTATTTTTTGATTTTCGATTTTGTTGTAGATATTTATATTTTAAAAATTTCTTACTATTAATTTCTATTTTAGTTTTAAGGTTGATTTAACTATAATTAAGTTATTATATTTGTTCTAAAGTTAAAATTTATTAAAATGATTCACTTACTTCATAAAACAATTGGATTTTTTTTGGTTCTCAAATATATACTATATATTATAGAAAATTATATAGTATAGCTTAAATTTATACAGAAATTATGTTAATATACTTATCATTTTAGAACAAATTTGTATAATTTAGTTGAATTTTAGATAGTTTATATAAAGTGAAACTTATTTGTTTTTGTGATTAGTATATTCACATGAGTTTAGTATTTAAAATAAATTATTAAATTTATAAAATGGTATATTATTCTATTTTATTTTCTATGTTGTTAACTATAATGTTCTATTTCTCTGAAAATAATATTTAACGTTTTAGAAGATATATGCCTATTTCTTTGTATACTTAAATCATTTAGATCCGAAAAAAACTGAGTTATTGAAATATAAATTGTATATACTTCAGACTAAACAAAATAAACAGTGAAATAGATTTTATGCATAACTAACCAATAGTTAAAAAGTAGAAAAGGAATTTCTTTTTCCAACGATGAGATTATAATGGTCTTTCAGATACCACATTTGTTGATTACTCACATAATTCTAAAATCATAATAGCTATTCTTAATTATTGTGTTATACTACTATCTAAAAAGGAAAATCATTAAATCTAACGGCGAAAATCCAAAATGTCCGACGATGGAAAACATATTAAAATAAGAGTTATTCTTAGGTTCACCAACCAATAGGATTGTGTTATTTTATATTTTTAAAAAGGAAATAAAATCTTTTTAAGTTATATTATGTTTTTAAAATAAAAATAAAAAATGATAATATTAAAAAAACGAAAAAAACTTATTTAAAAAATATTTAACACTAAAACACTAAACCCTAAACTCTAATCCTAAACCCTAAACCCTAATATTAAACCCTAAACCCTAATACTAAACCCTAAACCCTAATACTAAACCCTAAACCTAATCATAAACCCTAAACCCTTGGGTAAATCATAAACCCTTTGGAAAAATCTTAACTCTTGGGTAAATTAATATTAACCAATTATACTATTTTTTTATTTATTTTTATCTTTTTATTTTAAACACATTTTTTTATTTTAAAGATATATTAAAATATTTTTTTTAAATTGTTTTTTTGTAATTATTACAGTTTTTATTTTATTTTTATCTTTTATTTTAAAACATAATATAATGTTAAAATATATTTTTAAATATTTTTTTCGTTTTTTGTAAATATTACTATTTTTACTTTATTTTTTATTATTTTTATTTTACAAACTTAATATAACTTGATAAGATTTTGTTTCCTTTTTTAAAAGATATCAAATATGAAATAAACTCAGCCTATTGGTTGGTGAACCTAAAGGTTCACCCTAGGGGGTGAACCCAAGAATAAGTCTTAAAATAAAAACTGGAGCACTTATATATAATTGTATACCCCTAAACACATCCTACTACTCACAGTCTCAAGACTGATCCACTACAAGTTAAAAGAACGAGACTCCCTTTCAAATAAACTAATCATCTTAATTTAATTATTGCCTTATCTTGAGGTGATGAACGCTGGAGGATTGCTTGGCCTGAGAAAAATGGGGAGGAAGACGTGGTTCAACGACGACGGGATGAAGAAAGGAGAGTGGACGGCGGAGGAAGACCAAAAGCTTGTCGCTTACATCCACGAGCATGGCATCTGTGATTGGCGTTCTCTCCCTCAAAGAGCTGGTATATGTAGATATATACTTTCACCATATATATTATTTTTTAACATGGAATTTTCATAAATAGATCATATGGAGAAGTGACTTCTTTCTGTTTTTGTTTAAATTATTTTTTGGAATATATATATATATTTCGTGTACATATATATGTCTTCATATAGTACTAATCAGAATACTTAGCAATTTTCGACCTTATTGGTGATATTATTATTGATTTTCGGGATATGAAACTCTACATACTGAAGAAAAACTCTATATACTGAAATGGATAGCATGCAGAATGGGGCTTCGTCGTCCTGATCTGTAGGCAAAGCTTCATGAAATCCTAACGATATCTTTTACTATGTAACCAAGCCAAACCAAGAATAGAAAGTGAAAGTGCATATATACACGCCATCGTGAATATTAATGCTTACTAAATTTCCTTATATAAAATGATTATACCGACTCTATCCATAAATATTTACTAAATCTGTAAAGTTGAAACCTGTATATAGAACAGATTCTATCCATATAATATTATAAAATTGATTGCCATCTGTTAACGGTGCCCAAGGGCGACAGGTGTTAATATCCTTTTGTCACATATGTAAGACATGTTAAATCTTCAAACTTTAATTAGTACCGTCTTGGTTGGAATGATCTTTCTACAGACCCAGTATCTAAATATTAAAAATATTTACAGCTGATATGTTATTAAATTTTCATTGTTGAAAGGTTTATTTTATTCGCAACTTCTTTTGTTTGCCACTACAAACGCACAACTAAATTCCTTTTTAACTGCTAAAATTGACATTTCACTAGTGTGTCGTGAAAACAGGTTTGCAGAGATGTGGAAAGAGCTGTAGATTAAGGTGGCTTAATTATCTAAGGCCTGGGATTAAAAGAGGCAAATTCACTCCTCAAGAAGAAGAAGAAATCATCAAACTTCATGCTGATCTAGGAAACAGGTTAGTTTCTTAATTAATACCTATTAATTGCTTTGTTTTTTCCATTACTATATATATATATATGTATATGAACATGAAGAAAAAATAAAATAAAATATTTATATAATATATTATATATATACTGTGCTGTCAAGATTCTAAATCTCCAATTTGGATTAACATGAATTTTTTTTTTTTTTTTTGAAACTAATTGACATGAAATGTTTGGCACAAAGGAAAGTTAACTTTTGCATACAATAGAAAGCTTCCTTTTGTTTTTTTGGTTCACATGAGGCAAAAGAAAGCTTTAATAATAATACGTAAAGAACACCTCTACATGTGTATGATATACTATGATCTTTTATGGATTACAAATATAAATCTAAATATTGATATATCTATACGTACGTACATCAGGAAATAATAAACATTGACTAAATGATAATATCAACATCATCAACTACATGACACTATTATGCACTTAATGGCTAGCTAGTTACGATCTAACCAGATTACTAATTACTTTCCTTGTCCCTTTCACTACTATCATAATTCTAAATTTTATCGTCTTTATTGTTGAAGGTGGGCAGCCATAGCGAAGCAAATGGAGAATCGAACAGACAACGACATCAAGAACCATTGGAACTCTTGTCTCAAGAAAAGACTGTCAAGGAACGGAATCGACCCGATGACCCACGAGCCCATTGTCAATAACACTAACCAAGAATGTGGTAGCTCTTCCACGACGGGAAGCACTTTTTCCTCCTCACCTTCTGGCTCGGCTTGTATCCTGAACAAGCTGGCCGCAGGTATCTCATCTAGACAACACGATCTCGACACGATCAAGAACATCTTCTTAGACGCGAAAATCACCAGCAGTGATGACCAAGACGAAGAACAAGGGTTAAAGAGGGACCAAAATATTGATGGTGGTGGTCAAGAAGATGATTTTCTGATATTGGACGATGTAGATATTAGCCGTTATATGCAGGACACTGAGGAAATGGAGTACGAGACTACATCGTACTCGTACGACTCTCTCTTGTACGACTCTGTCATGTCCGAAAGTACTGACATACTTGATCATCTCTTTTGACTTGATCAAGTGCTAGTGTGTGTTGTTAATGTAGACCACTTAATTTGACCAAGGGGAATGAAGTTTTGCATATGGTTTTTGATTAAAATATAATGTAGAAAGAAGTTTTCATACTATGAAATTTCACGAGCTTGCCACGTTTATGCTTGGTTTAGATATAGTTGTGCATAGCATGCATAGATACCCCTATTAATGCTACTTGCATTAACCAACAAAGTAACTACAGTAAAAACTCAAATGTTTAGTAAAAAAATACAGTTAAAATTCTATAAATTAAAAGAATGATCAAAAGTTGTCTTTTTAGATTTTTTAATATATAGAGCTATTAATTCACAAAAGTTTTCTTTTTAGATTTTTCTATCCTGAAATATATTTTTCTAAGAAAAAAATAAAATATTTGATTTTAGTGTTTATATATTAATTATTATTTTTGAAATTCATTATTCATTATAGTTTTATTATAGTTATCCAGTGTATATAAATATTGTTCCTAGAATTTAAATGGGGTTTTAGATATAATTTTACTAAATGTCATCAAGTGTATTAATTGTTAAAAAATAAAAAGATAAATTTATTATGAACATAATAACAGATAATATATAGGGTTTTTTACTATATAAAATGTATACATAAAAATTTTGGGTTGATAACTACATATAAATTATTAATTTATAATTTTAATGAAACTATATATTTACATAAGATTTGTTAAAAATTATTATCATATTATTTAATCGATTTATATCATATTTTAAACCAATTCGACTTGAGACCAGAAAAAATTATTAATTTATAGTGTTTATTAATTTATCGAATATTAATTTATTTAGTTTATACTATATATGAAAATTCAAATATTTTTTGAATTCTAAGCAATTTCTAAACGTACATTAATATCTTCTTGATGAGATATGGAAACCTGTCTTTTTCTTCCATCCTCTTTTAGTCTCTTTTTGATGAGATATTGAATATGAGTTTCTGCACCGACTGAATTAGAAGCAAACACTTCACTGATATAGTGGAGAATTGACTTACATTTTTTGCGGTGGTGATTTTGTTTTATTGGAAATTTGAGCAACGGGACAAGAGTTTTTTCAAAAAATAAATAAAAAGCCTTTCGCTTTAGATAATTTGTTTAAATCGAAGGAATCATAACAGAGAGTCAAGCTTCATTAATGCTGTGATTGACAGTGTACCAAATACATGTGATACAGTGGTTGAGAACATGTGTCATGAAATCCATCTATACTTTCCTAGAATACTAAATAGTCAGGAGTTTTTGTTGTTAAGTACATCCAGTACTGAGTACGACTTTCCCTTGAAGTAAGGAGTACTGAAATGAGGCCAAACAAAAGGGAACATTATTATATTTGTCTCCGTTAGGGCATGTCATTGGCGACTACCACAATTTCTAGATTATACATACAATGGTTAATGGGTTTGGCTAAAACATTGAAATCACTTGGTCCTGGTCATGCGTGTGCCTGTGTTTAGTTTAAACTCTTAAAGCCCACCTTAACTTAATTCATGAATTTGATTTCCAAACCGAATATTTTAAAAGCATTGGAAGCCGAACCATTTTGGAGTTAGTTATGAGTATAAATTAATTTGTGCAAAGTTAAAAGTAGTACAGTTACAGTTACATACAGTTGAGTTAATTAATTATTTCATCTAAAGCCAAAATGAGCCCTCGTACTACACAAAACCTAATTTTTTTGGGTTCGCACTGATAATTAAAACGAAAATTCTGAATGCCAACAATACAAGCATCTATGAGACTATGACATAGTATCCACGCGCATTTGAATCTTCGATACATGGTCACATCAAGCTCACCTTAAGTGATGTTCTTCTTTCTCTCCATTATTTGATTTCAAATAGAATTCTTCTTTGTTCGTTAAAGAATCTTTTTTGTATCATTTATCAACATGGTTTCTAGACAAATTTGACTAAGATCTTATATATATAAATTGTTGGTTCATTTGATATGTTTTTTAAGTCGATTTTACCCCCAAGGCCAAGAGACCTCGTTTGGTGGCTCATTTGATATGTTCTCTCATTGTTTTTCATCTCTTTCATATTTTGTAGGCTAAACGAAATAACAGCGGGCAAACTCAAACATAATGTATCTGAAAGTCAACAAAAACATCATCGACACCTTTGTTTTTCTTCATGTTTAAGATAAAACTCCTATATTTGGATCTTTATTCAAACAATTGATTTATCTACCTTTTGTGACCCATCATGTCTGCTCTACATAGCGCATGTCCGTTAATGGAATACTTCAAAGAATATCTACATTTATAATTTCATATATTAAATTTTAATGATGAACTATATATAGATTAGATATTCATTTCGACCAAAAAAAAGATTAGATATTCATTAAAATAATGATGGAAATAGCTTCACACTAACATTATCTCTATCAGTTTACCAAAAAAAATATTAGCTCTATCATCTTTGAAGTCATAATTAATATTCTAGTGAATCCTTACAAAATTATCTTAAAATTTATAAACGAGAATTAATTAACAGCGAGGACATAGACACTTTATTTTTATTAAAATGAGTAAGTCATGTGTATTACTATTTTTTTGTTTGTTAAGGTTAATTTAGCAGTTTTTGTGGAAATTTATACATTTCTCTGTTAAAAAGACATGCGTGTGCTTTCCAAGCGAATATTATTTATTTTTCTGTCACTTATGCAAAGATATTGGTCTTTATATAAATTTATGAGTTACGTACATAATACGGCTGTCGTATTTGTACAAACATTATAGAACAGCTAGAAAGAATTTATGCACTTTTCATTGGAGCATTATTTTGAATCTACAAATAATAAATAAATCATCATACAAATGTTCAGCTGAAGATAGTAAATTTCAAAGTTCAAAAAAAAAGATAGTAAACTTCACACCTAAAACAATAAACAATGCGTTTACGCACATTTGTCGTGGTTATATATTAATCTCAGTTATTCAGTCGCCACTTAAGGAAAGTATTTTTAATGTGGCGTATCCTACCTGTTCATGTACTAATTGCTCCACTCCTTTTCAGATTCAGATAACTTAGTGAGTTTATCATTTTTCTTGAGCAAAGTGAGTTTATCATAAAAACGAAAGAAGCGATTACTTTTGGTAGTGGTTAGATCCTATATACGTGTGAAACGTTAATATCATACTTCTAGAAATGTGACAGATCATAATCTTTCAAGCGTTTGGCCTTTTCCTCAAGTAAGACAAGAGGCAATTTAAGCACGTGTTAATAATATTACATAGACTCATATAGAGGACTCTGCAAACGATAAATAACGCAAAAAAAAAAATCATTTTTTCTGATTTAAAAGAAAGTAATTGATTGAAGTAGAACTATCAAACAATTTTTTTTGCTGAACTTGACCATGTTCTGTGTATTTACTTTTGCTTTTATTTTGCTTGATAACCTTGAATACAAAATAATATAACTATTACGGTAGTAATGATGCTACATTAATTAAGTTGTATTCGTTTTATGTGTTATGTGGATAGTGTACTAATTAGTTAATCATTGAACTTATCTATAGTATTTCTGTTTGAAAATGGATTTATAGATAAATCATTACTTGAAACTTTTGCGTGTACTAACTAGTGAATCATTAAACTTTACCTATAGTAAATTGTTTGAAAAGGGATTAATAGATAAAACACTACTTAAAACTTATGTTTGTGATTTTGTCACATCATACGATGATGATTTATAATATTACTGTTTGAATCTGAACGGTTGAATTTAATCAACATGGAAAACATTTCCTTGTCTGGAAACTATGTTTTGTCTGTGTTACATAATTTCAAATTAAAATAGTCATATACTCAATAATATGTACCTAAATAATTTATTCTTAAGCAGATTGTTTGATTGAAAGTTAGAATTGCAGTTCTGGATTTCATTCATATAATGCTCCGGGATCCAATCTACTATTTAGTGGAAGTGCTATAAAACAAAACTACATGTGGAATACAATTTGAAACTCTTTTACCAATAATTCATATAACAATATTGATCCCAGGAAACGGATATGAGTCAAATGACTCGTCGGTTACTTGCAACATGAAGGCACAAGGCCATGGTTGTATCCACTCTAGAACCTCGATCTCAAAAGCACATAAGATAATAACTCAAAATAAGAAACTCATCTTATTAATCTCTTGAGGAAACTTACTCAAAACCTCAAACTCTCAATCACAAACTCATAAGTTATGTTACACCTTAGCATCTCCTTATATACAATTTTCTATTTCCTAAATTCATTAGGTAAAATACAAATAGATATTTCCTATTCTATAACTCAATAGAATTAGGTTGTTTACTTCTCAAGCTAACTTCAAGCTTATCCAACATTCTTCCCCTTAAACTTGAAATCACCATTTGACATATCTTGAATATCAAAGAGACCTCTCATCTCTTTGAACCTCAATCTCCCAAATCCACTCTCGAGCATATGTTGTACCTCGATCAAATCATACTCAACATACTCTCGTGCGAGGTGAGATAAGATCTGCTTCAGGGCTTCAACCTCTGCCATATTGTCAGCTTCACATAACGATAAGTCAATAGTCTCTTGTTTACTCGAACTCGAACACTGCAACATTAAACTTTCATCAAAATAAAAGATATTTTCTGTCATGTTCTTGCCATCGACCGGGACAACTCTATGACCCCTATCACTTTCTCCAACAATTGGTATTAGAGCGGTTTGACAAGAAATCTTTAAGAAGACCGAAATACCCTTCGAGAGATGAATGGGATCCTATGAGTTAGGAATGAGAGGTGTGTGTGGCAGAAATCAAGTCAGAAGATCATGGAAATCAGTTGTGGGACACGAGATAAATATGATCCTTAGTTCGATGGGGAGAATATGAGATAACAAACTAAGTCCCACATTGGAGAATTAGACAACGAGAGTCTAATATATAAAGAGATGTCCAACTCTAATAGTACGAGGCCTTTTGGGAAGGAAACCAAAGATAAATCCATGCAGGCTAACTTTCTAGGCCCAAAATGGACAATATCGTACTAATCGGTTAAATAAAAAGTTGGACATGAGCTTCCACAATTCTAACATCCACCTCTCTATTATCCGCCTACCAGACCATCTCCAACCTAAACCTATTTTCTCCTCTATAACTACCACAAAAATAGAGTAGCTCTATTTTGGAGTGATTTTTACTCCAATAGTTCACTCTAAAATAGAATTACTTTATTATAGAATAGAAAATAGAGAGATATCACTTTTTCACTCCAAAAATAGAGTGATGCGCTTACATTTTTTCATCTTTCTCATTGACTACGAATATTCATAATGATGATACATGGTTAGGTTCCGGTCAGGTCAAATGTCTTATCTTTTCTTCTTGGCGATTTTGTTGAGCGTTAGGTAGGTGAACATCCTTCGTGTCATTGAGTATTGATACTTAAGTTCCATATTGGTTAGGATTGCCAAAATAAGGATCGTCATCTAAAGTTATCTACAGGATAACTGGGATAGAGACCTTCAAGGGTTGCATGTTAAGCCTTTCTCTAGGAAGTCCGAAACCTTTTCTTTTGTCACTAAAAGCAATTCTACTATAACTTCTTCACATATCATAGCTTGATTTGAATTTACGAAATCACCTTTAACAATTACTGCCACGTTTGATTTTAAAGTCACGGACGAGATTATTTATCATTTGTCAGCTATATATATATCATATATGCATCCTTGTATTAATGTTTATATATATATATATATATATATATATATATATATATATATATATATATATATACTGTTGTTCGAATATGCAATTATTAAACAGATTGATTTGGGCAATAGTTTAAGCACGTAGGTAAATATGGCCTTAGAAAATAATTCAGTGATACAATGTGTAGCTTGAAAACTACCGTTTACAGTTAAAAAAAAAGGATCGAAAAAATAATTAGCAAAGAAAATAATATGCTTTTTTATCGAAAGGCGAGGTCTATTTATAGACTTTCTATAACTCTTACTTCATTCAAGAGACCATTCTAAAATAAGTGAAAGTTGTGTGAATTAGGGAAACCATCCCTCAAATTTTCCATATAAGTTAGCAGCTCTTTTTTTTTTTACGAAAAAACAAGTTAGCAGCTCTTATCCTATCATAAGGTGAATATAGGGTTTGCGGGGCTGAGAGAATTATGGGAAGAGCGACGTGGTTCGAAGCTGACGGGACGAAGAGAGGAGGATGGACAGAGGAGGAAGACCAAAAACTCGTCACTTATATCAACAAATACGGCACCGGTGACTGGCGTTTTCTCCCTCACAAAGCTGGTAACGACATATATAAATACTACAGTACAACTCTATATTTTTAGTAGTACTAAAAAGCAAACATGTTTCGAAGGAGGTTGCTGTATAAGTGGCGTCTCCTTTTTAACTAGTATAACATGATAGATTTATGTAAATAGTGACAAAATGAAGTTATTACGCACTTTAATGTATCACTAATCCTAACCAAAAGGAAATGAAAATGCCTTCCAACTGAGAACTTTTTTTGTGAAACAATATTTTTGTAAATATAATAAGCTGAAAGTAATAGTGTGTGAAACGTAAAATAAGCTTCTAATAAGGGTGTTTAAAAAAAAACTTCTAATAAGAACTTTTTGAACATTTTATGTCATGTTAATCATTCATCATGTATTTAATTTATCATTATGGTGTAGTTTTATGTTCTTGTAAATATTGTGAAGGTGCTTCATGTGTTTTTCTATTAATATTACAGATATAAAAAGAAAGTAATATGTTCCTGACGATTTCAGTCATTTTAAGACAAAACTCCAAAGGTTCAAATCATGAGTACAGCTTTATTTTGCCACAATATTCTTTTAGCAACAAGACCACAATATTTTACAGCTAAATAGTTCACATTTTAATCATATTTGTGATGAAAAAAGGTTTGCAGAGATGTGGAAAGAGCTGCAGACTGAGATGGCTTAACTATCTAAGGCCTGGGGTCAAGAAAGGCAAATTCTCTCCTCAAGAAGAAGAAGCAATCATCAATTTCCAGTCTATTCTTGGGAATAGGTATAGTAATCAATTAAGTATATATTACCGAATTGTCATAGTCAGTATAGTATGTGTATAAATGCTAGCATTAAATCACATATATGTATACCAAGTACATTATTGTTTTGATGGTATGTCTGTCAGCAGCTTTTAAGAGCATGATTAACCAGAGCTCTTAAGGATGAATTCTTAGCGAAATTAAAAAAATCATCTTTTAATTTTTAATTAAAAATGATAAGAATCAACTTTTTCAGTTAAAAGTTAAGAGATGGTTTTTTAATTCCGTTAAGAACTTCACTCATAATAACCCTTCATTAGTTATGCTCTAAGGCACTGGTTATATTTAAGATGTTGATACCAATTGAAAAAATTAAATGTATTTTGAGAAGCAATATTACTTATGATTATATTATTAACGCTGCTAAAAGAGATACATAATGGTACAATTTTGATCCAATAGCATGTTTGTACATCATATTATTTTATTATTATTGTTCAAACACGAACTACATGTTTTGTAAAGATTAAAAGAATTTTGTTTCGTCCGAAATTTTGTAACAGAGACATAAACTGTCAACTAAGTAAATCTGATCAACAATACTTTAGATTATTCTCAATACTTTTTGTTTAAAATTATATTGTACTAAAAACTATATATGCTGTAGATGGGCAGTCATAGCGCAGCAGATGCCTGGTCGATCAGACAACGACATCAAGAACCATTGGAACTCTTGTCTCAAGAAAAGACTCGAGAGAAGCAGAATCAACCCAATGAGCCACCAACCAATCAGTAACCTCGCCGTCTACACACCATCGCTCAACACAGATTGCGGCAACTCTTCCTACTCTACGGTGAGTCCATCGATGGGCTCACCGTCTTCTTCCTCCTCCTGTGGCTCGGCCAGTCTCCTTAACAAGATCGCCACTGGTATCTCATCTAGACAACAAGGTGTCGACAGGATCAAGAACATCATGTCGGATTCAAGATTCACAAGCAATATTAGTCAAGAGGAAGAGTCTGACGAATCGAAGAAGGATCATGGGAAGGATTTAGCAAGTGATGATCAAGAAGATGATTTTCTGATGTGGGACGAGGAGAAAGTGAGACGTTTCATGAAGGAGTTTTGTCAAATGGATTTTGAAACGAACGGAGTCTATAGCTCTAGTTCTTCATCACCGTATGGTGTTTATGATGAGACTAATCTACTTGATGACTGACCTACTTGATGATCATGTCATTTGATAAATCAATGGTTTACTATGAGAGATTATCGTACTGTATTGTTCTTTTTTTGCACGTTGCGACAAAGAATAATGTTCATTAATTTACCGACCAGGATAATAATTTCTCTAAAGTCATGTCTCAGATTAATTAGCATATGTAGAAGATGGGTGCAGTGAAACAAAATAGGAAACTTATGAGTTTGTGATGATGTCCCACTAATCGTGAAGAAAATCTTATGTAGTTTTTCTTTTGTTATGAGCTAAGATGCATTTCTATGTATCAGTTGTGAAAAAAGAAACAAGTAGCAAATTGTTTTATTTTATTAAATTGTTAAATAAAATATATGTTGACAATTTTTCTAATCTTATCTTTTAATACAAATATGTTGTAAAGGAAAAAGAAAAAAATAAAAAACAAAAGACAATAGTGAATTTATGATAATTGCCTATTTTTCTGGTCACATTGCTTTAGCTTTTAGATCTATTATGTAGCTTTGTAATCGATTCATGAAGTTAGTATCTTTAAAAATATATTATCTGGCGATGATCATTTTGCAGACTACAAATTGCAATCTTTCATTAGTTACTATAAATTTGTAATATCATTGTTGAAAAAAATTGTATAATTTTTGCAAGGGAGTGGACTTATTTATCATTGTGTACATGTACATTCTACTTTATAGAAAATATATATTATTGATTTTTTTTTTTTTAAAGGGGGTTTCAAAAATATTTACCATATTGCTCTTTACTTTTATTAACGTTTAGCAATTAGCACGATCGTTTCTTTCAATTAAAAAATAATAATATCAGAACATATTAGGGCATGTTTATTGCAGGTTCCTTAAGTTGGGTGAGTCTCTTACCTTAGTTTTTAACTGAAAATAGTAAGGGACGTCTTTTACATAAGAGATTTAAGAGACGTTCCTTAACGTTTTCAACTAAAAACTAAGAGACCGTACACTAAAGAATTTAGCTTAAGGGATCTGTAATAAACATGGTTTTACGGACGGTTTCAAATCAATAAGATATAAATCTAAGATGTATGACGTCATGTGTCGAAATGTCTATATCATCCATCGTGGCAGAATGAGGTCCAAAACCACGACTTCAGGACCACATGTAAAAATGAAGTCATCATAGCCACGTGAAAAACGGACCTCGCTATCTACTTCGTTTTATATTTTTTTAAGCAAAAAAGAACTTCGTTTTATATTTAGTCATGTGAAACGTATGCGCTTACTAATTATTGAGTTACATTATTGAAAGCTGACATTATTTGAATTTGTTGATAATTTGATAAATTGACTCGAGAATGTTTGTTAGTTAGAATGAAAAAGCTGAGTACAGTATTCTCCCTATAGCAAAATTGAATTACGCTATGAAGTAGCCAATCAATGGGAAATTTGTTACTCCGAGTTACGTTATGAAGTAGCCAATGAAGCAAACTTGCATGAGTAAACAATGTGAAATAATAATGGAATGATGATTATTATAAATGCTATATAAACATAATTTATCTAGCTATATGTCTTATAATATTTTTGACTAAAATAAACATTTGAAATACAGTAGAACATCTATAAATTAATACTCGATAAATTAATAATCTCAATAAATTAATAAATTTCGCCAGTCTCAACTTGAACCGGTTCAAAATTTGACACAAATCGATAAAATAATAAGATAATATTTTTAGAAATTTATATGTAAATATATGGTTCCATTAAAATTATAAATTAATAATATATATGCATACATATTTTATATAGGTAAGAACCTACATGATGTTGTTGTTTAATATTCACAATGAAATTATCTTTATATTTTCTTAACACTTTCTATAATTTTGATGATGTTTAGTAATATTATATTTAAAATCACATTCAAGTTTTATGCAATATATATATACACCAAATAATATAATAAAATTAATATAAATGTCAAAATTCAAAAATAATAATAATTAATGTCTCTACACTAAAATCAAATATTTTTCTTATCTTAAAATAAATATATCTTAAAATAAAAAATCTAAAAAAGAAAACTTTTGTAAATTAATATCTCTATAAATTAATAAATTCAAATCTCTAAAATTATTAATTTATAGAAGTTTTACTATAGGTTTATATTGTCTAATAAATTTAATACGTAATTCATTTAGTGGTTTTATAAAGTTTTTTCTGAAAGAAAAAAAAACCACTTAAATGGTCTTAAAAGTCATCTAACTTAAATGTGTGGTTGCTACACAACAAAAGTTTGAAGTCAGATTTTATTGATTAATTTATGGTTCATATTTGTTATTTTACCAGAGAAATTTTATAATAATTTTCATTGGCTGCTGCTGGACCACATTTTTCTGGACCACGTTACACATTCAGACCCTTGGTTTAATCGACTAAGTTCACTGATTCATTTGAAACTATATGTTGAGAACAGCACAAGCAAACTGGAAACGAAGCTCAAGTTTTGTTGCATCGAACCGGACAAAATTAAATGTGGTCCCCCGATAAAAAAAGTTGTAAACACTGTGGAAGGTGAATTGCTTCTCGAAATCGACCAATCTCATCCCGAGTTTCATAGTTGGACTTTGAGGATTCTAGAGATCACACCGTAGAGATATTTGATGAAATGAGAAACTAAAAGAAAAAATGGAAGTACCCTCGTGATATACTAAGCTGGGCCTTTTAAAACTATTGTTCATGGTGGTCTTATTATTATATAGGGTTATACTAATGAAGAAACATTACAATGGGTTGTTGTTTATGTTCTTTACTTAAACAATCCAAAGTTTATGTGAGCTTATTCTTCTAGGTCTGCTTCTTAATTAATGTTACAAACTTACACTTAGTTGTTGTTTAAGTTCTTTACTTTCTGCCTTCTTGAAGTACCTGTAATTTCAGTTCATTCACACAAATTGAACGTTAGCTTTTTCAAGTTTGTTCTGCTATGGCTTCACGGAGCAGTGGAAAGAATAAGGTAGCTGGAGAGATCAATAAAACACACAAAAAAAAATTTACCTCGAGCAATACAAAGAAAAGAGTCATGAGAAAAGATTGGACTAAAACATTTTACCAAAAAAAACAAAGATGATTGGACTAGATTGTCTAACAGCGCAGCAGGTGCTCGTTTCTGTGAGTACGCAAGAATCAACATACAGCGATTTCAAAAGTGAATTCCATTTCTCCGGAATCAATAACAGAGTGATCAAACACTGAAGATACATATAAACCTCCTAAAGTTAACAGATGTTTCTTCAAATAATTCGCAAGGAAGACTTTAACTTTATTAGAGCAAGTGATCTTTAGGCTTCGAAATCATATACCATTCATCACTTTAATGGTGGTACAAAACAAGATCTGTAAAACAAAAGCACATACTTTTTTCTTCTCGAATGAGTCAGTAACTCTAGTAACGATTACAAGACTTAGAACTGAAACAATCAGAATCTTGCAAACTCCTAAGAAACTGCGAAAAAAAAAAACTACAATGATCAATCAAAAGACAGAGAGACACATGATATTACCACTGCTAGCTCAAACGTTTACAGCTAACATGACACATGTTATGTGATTGCTAAAATGCGAATGTGGAGAGTTGAATTAGGTAGAGATGTCTTAGCAATTTTAGGCAATGGTCGTTAACCTGCGCTTTTACAAGACTATAAAGTGTTACGTGATTGCTAACACGCGCTTTGTTTATGCTATCACAAGAAGTTGAGAAGAGTGGACGATACGGATTCCCTTATCCACACATCTTAAACAAATGAAAAAAAAAATGCAACAACATTGTATCTTTTCCTTCCTCCATTGCAGCCATTAATCAAAGAAGTATGGCTGAAGCATTCACAAGTTCCACCTTCACAAACCTTCAAATCCCTTCTTCCTCAAGTTATTCGGTACATATATTAACTATTTTCACATGCTTAAACAAATTGTTTCATCGTCTATATTAGAACAAAAGACCTGAGACATGTGTCTTTGTGTTTGTAGCCTAAGCAGATTCCAGTGCCAAGTCATGGTTATTGGCTATCTGTAAGTAAATATCTCTAACTATGGAATTAATTTACAGTTTCTTTATTCTTGTTATATGAATTTTTACGTTTTTGAATTTTGAAAAAAAAACTAGATGAAAAAGAATGAGAAGAGGGAGAATAATCTGATGAGAGGAAGCTTGTGTGTAAGAAAGGCACTGCCACATGATTTGCCACTAATGGCTGTGATGGTTCAACAAATAGAAGGGATGCGTGATATCATTACAGAGAAACACGTCTGGCATCTAAGTGATAAAGCTATCAAGAATGTCTGTAAGTAGCAAATTTTTGGGCTCGTTAGCACAAGAACAACATGTTTTGTCTTCGGTTTGTTTTTTAATGTTTTGATATATTGATGGGCAGATTTGTTCTACATCATGTTCACTTGTTGGGGATGTCTGTACTTCGGTTCCGCAAAAGTATGGGAAAAAATAAATTAGTCTTAATATTTTTATGTCCTTTTGCTACATTTGGGATCTTAGTTACCTTTTTTAGTTATTTATTAATAATGGTGTATGTATAGGATCCATTCTATGACTCGGAGGAGTACCGTGGAGATGGAGGTGATGGAACTGGATATTGGGTCTATGAAACTGTAAGTTCTTTTTTTCTTTCTAACATTAGAAACTTACAATTTATAACGAGGTGAACATCACCCTCTTGGGGATTACATTGATGGTTGAGAACAGGGTTGGATAGTTTAAGAATTTAGAAATCGGCTAGTGGAACGCACCGGTGTGGTGGTTAAGCGAAGCTAGACGATGTATTTTGACTTAAACCATTTTGGTGAAAACGAGTTTATAATCAAAATTAAATGCCCGATTTAGGGATGATAATTAAAAATTAATATTATTAAAAAAAAAAATTATAACATGGGAGGTTGTCATGGACTAGCCCACACTGGTCTTTATAGAACCTGACCTTACGGATTGGTTTCTGTTGCCTCAGTGGTTATCCTGGGATAAATAAGCAGATTATGTAGATGGTTTTAGGTTTGCCTTTAGGTGTCACAATCTTAAGCATTTGCTTACATTATGCTTAGTATAGTTTGTCCAAAACCTACTAGAAACCTGTTAATTATAAACGTCAAACTCAAACGAGAAGAAAAACTTTCGGTTATCTTTGGTGAATGTTTTCAAAAATCAAGTACTGAAATTTATAAAGACAATGTGAATTCTGGTAACACTGAATTCAAACCTAACTGATAAGATGAGGGTGGACCACCTGCGGAGTCTCAGTCGTCTAGTAAATTTGGGCCAGTCCAGGCCAAGTTGGGCTATGTTGAGCCATAGACTTTTTCTACATCATAATTTAGTAAATACTAATACTACATACAATGCTTAAAAAAATTAGTAACATACAATTGGATAGAGTTATTATTGTGTGTTTTGCTTCTATGATGCAGCAAGAAGACATAGAAGAGAAGGCAAGAGCAGAGCTATGGCGTGAAGAACTTATCGAAGAAATTGAACAGAAAGTTGGTGGTTTAAGAGAGCTCGAAGAAGCTGTTAATAAGTAGACAACTAACTTGTAAATCATGAATAACTTATACATACATATATATATATATTGTTTTCGAATAACTGTCATAAACCACTGTTCCATTTATATAATAGTATATGTTATCTATTGCTTTATTGTGTTCTGAATCATGGAATGAACATGTTAGGAGCAATCGTCTCATTCAGATTCTTGTCTCAATTGGGGCTTAAATTAATTGGTCGTGTACACTGGGCAGTGAGTCTAATGAGGAACCATTTGCGGGAAATACGCTTTTGCACGTTTTCAGCTGTCCTTTAACTGAAAGAGAAAGCATACTAAACTATCAAATTTCAGAAATAAAAATAAGGAGACGAAGGAGAGCTTGTCATGTCTTTGTCGATAATCTTCGTGCTCTCATGTTACAGAGCCTCTTCGACCTTGTGAATCGCACGTGTGGGGTTTATTAGTTTATGTTTGCTTCTATATTCAGATATATTTGTTTTTCTTCATCTACTGATTTTTTTTTTTAGTAACACACATTGACAGAAGATCAGGGGATATTTATGTAACAGTATATGATATCTGTATGTAGTGTAGTGTATACTGTCTTGTATGAATTTAATTCGTGTAGGGTTGTGCAATTATAATTCTGCCCCAAACATGATGTTTGACTGTTAATGATCTCATCCACATTATTTGGTTCCATTTAGATATTTCAACACAATATAATAAAATTTTAAGTTAGAATGTTACATTTATAAAAATATAGTAGTAGATATTTTAGCTCAAAAAAAAAAGTAGTAGATATTTTACCACCATAAATTTGCAAATATTAAATCACAAGAAGAATAGAAGAAGAAAAAAAGAGGAATTACATGTCAGCGTTTGTCACTGCGTTTTCTAGAGAGAGACAAGAACGAATCAACAAGACCGAGTCCCTTCATTACTTTCTTTCTTCATTACGCGCCAACGAAGACTTAGCTGTTTTTTTTCCACATGTACAGTGCATTGACCTAGTCTCCCGTCACAGCTCCCATTTTATTACATATATATCCACGTGGCACACACAAGTATCGCATTCTCGACGTCAAATATCACCGCCCCGTGATTGTAAAGTTCCGCAACTGAGTTTCTTACAAGATCTGTAGCATGTAGATTTATTTACCCCACTCCGACGTGTACACTCCGTGTTCCGTGACGAGTAACAAAAAGAGAAAAAAAAAGAATTATAAAAGGAATGAGAACACACAAAAAATCAAATAGTAGCTTTTCTTTTCCTTTTTTTAAGCATTTTATAGAACAAAAGTAATTAAAAATAAAAGGGAAAAATATCCAATATATATTATATATAATATTTCCAAAGTATAAAAACTATATATTAAAAACATGCGGCTTCTTTTCCTTTTTAAGCATTTTATCAAATAAAAAGGGAAAAATATCCAATATAAATATATTATATAAAATATTTCCAAAGTATAAAAACTATATATTAAAAACATGCGGATTGTTTTCCTTTTTTAAGTATTTTATAGACCAAAAAGTAAGTGAAAATAAAAAGGGAAAAATATCCAATACATATTATATATAATATTTCCAAAGTATAAAAACTATATATTAAAAAAATACGCGGTCAAAATGATCCCTTTATAAACACCCATCTCTTCTCCTAACTTTCATCAATCATCATCACTTTCTCTCTCTTCCCAACCAAAAGAGAAAAGCTTCCTTCTCTCTCTACAAAAAAAACAACCCAACTTTCTCGGATTCAAACCTTTGCATCTGTAACAAACGATGCCAGTGACGGATTTTCAGGGAACATTTGGTCGGTCGCTGCTAAGTTTCCGGCGAGACCAAGTTGACTCAAACACAGTCCTCACCGGAACTAGCCCCAACATGGACGCTGAGCTTGACTCTTTCCAGAGACAAGTCGCCGAGAGATTCATCGATCTCAACGCCTCCTCCTCCGGTGTTGAGCTTCTCTCCCTCGAATGGATCGGAAACCTCCTCGACTCCTTCCTCTGCTGCCAAGAGGAGTTTCGCGCCATCGTCTTCAACCACCGCTCCCAAATCTCCACATCTCCGATGAACCGTCTCATCTCCGATTACTACGAACGCAGCATCAAAGCCCTCGACGTCTGCAACGCGATCCGCGACGGTATCGAGCAGATCCGACAGTGGCAGAAGCTCTCCGACATCGTGATATCGGCTTTGGACAGTCACCGTCCTGTCGGAGAAGGTCAGCTCCGGCGAGCTAAGAAGGCTCTGATCGATTTAGCGATAGGGATGCTGGACGAGAAAGATGCGTCTTCCTCTACTACGAGTTTAGCTCATCGTAACCGTTCGTTCGGGAGAGCTAAAGACAATCACAACCGTTCGATGGGACACTTCAGATCTCTCTCGTGGAGTGTCTCACGGTCGTGGTCTGCTTCTAAGCAGTTACAAGCGTTAGCGAGTAATTTAACGACGCCTAAACAAAACGACGTCGCGGCGAGTAACGGTTTAGCTCTACCGGTTTATACCATGACTTCGGTTTTGTTGTTTGTGATGTGGGTTTTGGTGGCTGCGATTCCTTGTCAGGACCGTGGGTTGCAAGTTAACTTCTTTGTGCCGAGGCAGTTCCAGTGGGCGGCTCCGGTTATGTCGTTGCACGATAAGATCGTGGAGGAGTCGAAGAGGAGGGAGAGGAAGAATTGTTGTGGGTTGCTTAAAGAGATTGGTCGGATTGAGAAGAGTTCGAGGGTGATGAATGAGTTGGTTGATTCGATTCATTTTCCGATGAGTGAGGAGAAGGAGAGTGAGGTGAAACAGAGAGTGGAGGAGCTTGTGGAGGTTCATGAGGCTTTGAAGAATGGGTTGGATCCGTTTGAGAGGAAAGTAAGAGAGGTTTTTCATCGGATTGTGAGAAGTAGAACCGAGAGTCTTGATTCTCTTTGTTAATGGTCTTTGTCCTGATGAACTTGTTTGTTTGTCCTAATATGATGATTCATATTAGGATTTTTTTTTTATCACTGTGAAAAAAGAGTGTAGAAGTCTTCTTCTTATCTCTCTGTGAAGTTGATAGTGATGATGTTTTTCTTTGTGTAGCTACTTGACTAGCTTTTTAGTGGTTTACCAGAACAAAGGTTGCTTACTTTTGATACAGTTTGTTAGATTTGAGGTTTTATTTTGTTTTGTAACTATTGGTTTCGGTTACATTCAAGACTCGAAAGAATCATGGAGAGTAAAAAAATAAAACTTTTCATTATATTGATTATGTTTCTACACAGTAACAAACAATACAAAGACATAAAACCTTATAATGAATCGAACTCTTCAAAATCTTCTGTTTCAAGTCCAAAATCATGTCGCTGGATATATAAACCTTCAATCATGAATCCAACTTCGATGTGTTAGATGAACTGATTCTCACTGTTAAAAAAAACAAAACCAAGAAGCTAAGAACCAGACCGGTTCCACAATTGACACTGAGCTTCAGATGTTAGTGACTAATAGTGAGTGATAATCATCACTGAAATTCTGATATTACGGGCACCTGTTAAAATACACATTAGAAAAAGCATGTACCGACCAAACATAACCAATACCACGAAATCGAATGAAACAAATTGAAAAAAAATTTAGTAAAGTGCATCAGAGAGATTCCCATTTAGACATTAGTTATCATTCAAATTCCCCCAAACCGGAGAATTTCTGATGTCCCTGTCTTTTCATCGTCACTTGCACTAACTAATAAAAAGGATCTAGAAAAACGGAAATTAAGGAAAGAGCAAAACTTCTTCCTATGAGTTGAAATAACCTTGAGATTGAGTAAAAGATGGTAAAGACTACACATCAAAACCGAAAATTCTTGAGTAATAATGCAACATGTGCATCAGAGAGATTCCCATTTAGACAATAATCATCATTCTCATCTCCTATCAAAGGAGATTCTGATGTCCCTGTCTTTTCATCGTCACTTGCACTAATCCATTACAAACTCCTTAGGTAATCGTCACTTGCACTAATCCATTACAAACTCCTTAGGTAAGAAAACCATAACTAAGGTACTTAAACATAAAATTAGCTATATATCATCACAAAAAAAAAGAGAAAAAAAAGCCTCAGATTTTATGTATTTTTTCTATAGATTAATCTTTCAAAGTATATTTAACACCAACACAGGCATCAAGAACAATCAAACACAACACAAAACTATCGAATTTCAAAACTACAAGTCTACAACATAGTACAAAAACTAGAGTTTCTGAAGTAGTGTTTATATAGAAGAAAAGTGGCGGTGTTAATTAGGGGAAAAGACAAGTCAAAGGGTATAAATGGGCTTTGACCCACCACGCTTAAAACCCGGTTTGATTTTATCGGTTAAAAACGGTGATTTCAAACCAAATTGATTTAAAACATCTGAAGTTCTCCCACAATCGAGGGAAAGGGTTGTCCTTTCGCCGCTTCAGTGAGCTTTCCCTCCTTATGTTCCCACCTTATTCAACTTTTCTTCTTCTTTCTCATACAACCCTTTTCTTTCTCTTCTTTTTAACTTCGCCTCCTTTGTGCTCACTTTCATTAATTTCTTCTCTGTTTTCCCACACAAAGAAGAACCCATATTCCTCTGTTTCTCCTGCAAAAAGACCCCTTTTTAAAAAAACCTTCCATTACAGTTATATCTTTTCTCTGTGTTCGAATATAAACTTTTTTGGTTTTCAGCTCTGAGATACACACAGATAGAAGTATAGTCTTTGCAAGAAGTAAAACTTCATAGTGAGTTCTTCAAAGATCATCTTCATCTTTCTTTCTTTTTATGAAAAGATTATGTTTTATACAGGATATGGGTAGGGTTAAGCTGAAGTTAAGCGGCTTGAGAGCACAGGCAACAGGCAAGTTACATACTCGAAGAGAAAAAGTGGGATACTGAAGAAAGCCAAAGAGTTATCCATTTTGTGTGATATTGATATTCTCCTTCTCATGTTTTCTCCTACCGGAAAACCTACCATGTTACATGGAGAACACAGGTTTATTAATATATCAAAAAAAACATCCTCAAGTTCTTCTGTTGCTCTTTTTAGTTTGATATGTTTACATTTTAGCTCTTGTGTCAAAAAGAAAAGTCTTATGTTCTTTCACATAGGTTGTAATATGGATGAACTGATTCTGAGTTTTTTTTTTTTTAAACAGTTGCATTGAAGAGATTATTTATAAGTTTGCGCAATTAACTCCACAAGAAAGGACAAAAAGGTATGGTAAGCATTATTATGTTAAAAGACTATGGAGGGCTCTCAATACATTGATGTAATTTGTTCTTATGAAACTAAAGTAAGAGTGTCTTGTTTTTTTTTTTGACATAACAGGAAATTGGAGAGCCTTGAAGTAAAGAAAAACCTCACTGCATTTCTTACTTTCTACATCAACTTTCTCATCTTCTTCTTTTTTTGTCATATATCTGAGTTTGTCTGTTTTGGTTGATTACAGGCACTAAAGAAGACTTTAAAGAAGCTTGATCATGATGTAAGCATACAAGAGTTTTTAGGAGCAAGGTACTTGCTATGACTTCTTGTAGTAATTAATAACCATACTTTTTTTTTCATTTTATAAGCCTTTGAGACATCTGAGATGGTGTCTTTTCTTTATCCTGTAGGAATGAAGCTATCGAGGTATGTATCAACCCTAATCAGTTCTTGAATTTTGTCAGATACTTTTAAAGCTCGCCGAGTCAGGTTGCTATAGTTTTTGTTACCTTTAACTACACGACAGGGTCTAAGTAACCAAGTAGCCATTTCCCAAGCTCAAGTTATGGAGTGTCATAGGAGGATAAGGTGTGAAAACATCATACTTTCTTGATTTTTTCAACTATCATGAAATCTTGTTTTAGTCATATTTGAGTCCTCCTTTGGTGGATGTTTTCAGTTTTTGGATGAACATCGATAGAATAGAAAACACTGAGCACCTCAGTTTATTGGAAGAATCACTGAGGAAATCTATTGAAAGAATCCAATTTCACACAGTGTGTAAAATTGTTTTCCTTTCAATTCAAATCCTATATACTCAAGGTTTCATCTCAGTTTCTTGAATGTTTCCTTCACTTTGCAGGAACACTACGGAAAGAAGCAACTTTTGCCAATAGAATATACAACGACACAGGTTAAGACCATTTGTTCTGCTTACCCTCTCTCACTCTCTGTCTTCAGTGGACAACTTCTTAACCAGACCAAAGCCTTAAAACTGCAGTTTCACAGCGGTAGTAGCATGCAAGAAGCTGACGCCATGTCTTGGCTTCCTGATAACAGTAACCAGCAAACAATATTAACTGGTGATTCCAGTTTTCTTCCTCATAGGTATGAGTCTTTAATCACAGTATATAGAATATAGTCACTTCCACAAAATGCTCTGTCATGCTCTACTGGATTGTAAACAGAGAGATGGATGGTTCGGTTCCTGATTACTCAAACTGCTTCGATGAGACTATAAAACAAGAAGATCAGAAATGCAGAAACCTTGGAAAACAATTTGAGCAGTTAGAACAACAAGGAGACGGTTGTTTGGGTTTACAACAAGTTGGAGAGCAATATTCGTATCCTACACCGTTTGCTACTACTCTTGTAATGGAAGAAGGTCCTTCATCAATGTATGATCCAACAGCTAGTAGTAGTGGTTGCTTTCAAATCCCTCAGGATCAAAACATGTTTGCCACTGATCATCATCACCATCATCAAAATTGGGTTTCAGGTTCAATGTTTGGTCAAACTTCTTACAACCAGGTTTGTGTTTCACACCTTACATTGGAATTATCTTAGCTATATTATCCACCAAAATAAACATGTCTATGTATCTTTGGTGATTGCAGAAATCGAACTGACTCAAGAGAGGGATCATGTATTATAATATAGTCTATGGATGATGACTGGACTTTACGTCTAAACAAGGACTAGTTTCAGCCATTGCAATAATGACCATATGTATATATAGAGAGAGTGTGTACATGTACAATGTATTAGTATGTATGAGAGCTTGTGTCATATACTCAGAGGAGTTTTAGGCATTTTTATATAAAAGATATTGTCTAGAAACCTTATACTTTGTACGAGTGATACATATAATCAATAATATAGTTTCTGTGTTGATTTTTTACAAAAACATTACTCTGTAACAAAACAAAAAGATCGGATTACAAAGATGTAATATAGTACTAAACAATGCTTTATTACAATATATACAAGTAACCGGAAGTCAACCTTCAAAGATGCTTAGGAACCTTATATTTTGTACGTATGATATATAGTTTCTATGTCGATGTTGGACAGGTGTCTGAGACAACAAAAGATGGTAAGTTGATACCATAATAAAGTAACAAAACAAAAAGATTGGATTAAAAGATATTAAACAATGTTTTATTACAAAATAAGTAACCGGAACTCAACCCTACAATCTTAACATGCTATACTTCATCTTGACATGGCAACTCGAAACGACACAACGGACAAACATGACTGGTCTCAAACCACTTTACAATACACTCCTCGTCAAACTCATGTCCACAAGATAATGTCACAACTACTCCTCCATTGCTAAACTCTTGCAAACAAATCCTGCACTCGTCCAAGCTAATCATCTTCCTCTTCTTTTCCTTTTTAATCTTCTTGTTGTATACTTTCCTGGTTAGCGACTTGACCACGTGCTTGCTCGCAGGTCGAAACTGGATACTGCTAGTATCATCAAACGAGACTTGAACCGCTTCTTGAACCCGAGAATCATCATCATCATCATCGAGATACTCAGGAACAATATCCAACCAAACTTTTAAAGCACATCCAGGAGAATACTCATTACTTACGGGGCAAGTAACCTCATCGACAAAGACAATTAGCTCCAGTATCGCATTATTGAGAACATCTTCGTTGACTCCAGCTTCCAACAAGAAGTAGTTCAAGTCTTGTTTGCTTTTACACTCATCGTTCTCATCATCCATGAAGTCTTTTGCAAGCGAAAGAGTCGTGAACGTCGAGTAATCATCTTCGCCAAAGATCCTTGTCGTGACTCTGATTGTGCCTGCATCGTCTGGTTCAGGGTAGTTATCGATTTCGTGGGATAGCTTGACGATCATGGCTACTTACGGAAGCAATAACAGTAGAAGAAACAAGGATTCAACGCTTTTTTTGTTGTTGTTGCATATTTGGTAGAGCCTCTAGGGTTACTTATATTTATAACACAAGGACGAGTGTTTACCAGACCCTTGTTAGTCGGTGGCCGAACTATATTCTTTTAGTATAACCTAGATAATTTCCTTTTTTCTCTTCAAGACGAGTAACAAATTTCCTTTTTAACAGACAAGAGATTAACAATTTCCTTTTTTTTCACTTTCTTTATCTTTTTGTGTTTGTAATAGATGTGAATCATAAAAACAAAATCAAATTGAAATAGAGCAAGATATATCTATCTACATTGTTAAAACAAAAATACAAAACATAATTTACTTATGTTAAAATATTTTATTATAATTTTTATCTTTTTCTCATTTATCCAATTATTACAATAATAATTTGGTAGATATAAACTAGTCTTTCTTTCATGTGTTTGATTATAACTTTTATCAAATATTATTTATTTATGGATTTCATCATTAATTGTCTTTTTTATTAAAAACAAAAAAAATTACCATAATAATACCATATTAATTATTTGATATTTACTAGTCTTCTTTTCATGTGTTTTACTTTAATATTTATCATTGAAATATTAACTACTTCTAGATTCCATTATTAGTTATTGTTTATTTAAAACAAAAAAAATTACCATAATAATTCGATAAATATTTACTATTTTTTTTGTGTTCACATGGATGCGTATTACCAATTTGGTTCATATAGTTTTAGTTGAATTTCTATGTTGATGATAAAAAAAATCACTGAAACTTCAAAATTTCATCATTAATTTTTTTTTGTCATTTAGGAGTTGATTAGCAAAGGTTATAGATGTTGTAGAAAGCCATTTTCTTTCTAGTCATTTTAAAAATTAGCCATGCTTTATTATTTAAAAACTGAATCTAGAATTTTGTTTAAAAAAAAAAAATATGTTAGCTCCAAAATCAATTTTCTACATCTTTTAATTCATGCTTTCAATTGTCTTTGAAAATAATTCTACCTAAAAGAAAATCAAGCGACAACCAAAAAGATAACAGCCTAGTTTATAATGTAGAAAAAAAAAACATAAAGCTACCGCCATTCCCAATCAATCCTTTAAAACAAAAAATTACCTAATTCACTATTCTAACTAATTAATCCTTTGATTACTCACTAATAATTAAATTTGTTAATCATACTAATTAGTAATTTGTCATTCTAAGTAAAACAATATTTAAACAAATTATACATTTTCTTAGAAGACAACCTAATATGTATACCAAATATTCCTAAAACATAGACAACTAATTCACCACATAATCTCAAATATATATTCTATCATTACTCATAATATAAGTATTTATATTTATATCATAATACAAATAGTTCTCCGTATATTTTATTTCTCCCTTTAATATGTTTATTTAAAATATTCGTTATTTATAAAAATATATAAATAATAAAATAAGAATATAACTGATATTAAGGTTTACAGGTTGTTCCATCAAAATTTACTAAACTAATGCATTAATTTATTTTCATAAATACAAAATATATATACTTAAACTGTAAGATACAAATAGTCAATATAAATAAATTTTTAATATATTATTTTATGCACAATTTCATATAAATAATAATCCAACGCAAATCTAATACGCATTTTACTGTTAAAAATGAAATAAAATTAATGCTAAAAACTATAAAATTCTTGTATTCTGAAATATTATATTAGCTAATACTATTAAATGTTTAAAATATATATCACCATCTATACAAAGAAACGATTTATTTATAAAAAAAAAGTAAAAAAAAATATATGTGCGAATCAGTGATGACTAAGAGCGAACATAAACATAACTAAGGTATTATTACATACAGGTTCGAAGAAAACATTTTTTCATATTTGTTATTAAATTTTGGACAACTGCGTTATCAGCAGAAAGCTTGAGTAAGATGGAAGAACATTATTACAGTTACCAGATCAAAGAATTTTATCTTATAATTCAAAGTTAGGTTTCCTTAACTCGCTGCATTGACAACAAGCAAAACATGTATCAACACAAAAAAAATTATAAACATGTCAAAAAGAGTTCATGATCAATTCATTTCCCTCTAGCACCGACACTGAGTAAAGATAAGATTATGTAATACACTAATGCGCAACAGAACAGTAGGAATATAAGATTATGTAATACTCAAAAACCATCTAAGCAGGACACTGCAACAAAGGCTGGAAAGAGTTTTCATACAAACAAAAGATACTAGCTTGTCTTGTCTTTTGTTGTCATGAGACTTTTTGCGTAAATTAAAAGAACTATTCAACACACAAACTTGACACATAACATGTAAAGCAAATGTGGTTTTTTAGGGAACTGTCTCATCATTCCTTGTCTTCGTCATCATCTTCATCAGAATCACCTTCTTTACCCTACAGTTTTGGTTTGCAAAAAACTTATCAGATAAGGAAACTTACATTTAAAGAATAGATTCAGACATAAACATGTTTTGTCTCAGGATATGTCTGTGAACTTTCAGAAGAAAACTAAACAAACCAAAGGAAATTATATGAAATTTTTACCTCGTCATCTTCATCATCATCCTCATCATCTTCTTCATCAAAATCCTCTTCATCAGCCTCCTACAAAAGTTGCAAATAACGATTTACCAAATCTTATGCTCTAACAAAGCTAAAATTGCACAGTGAAAAGGTGAACTGCTTACATTGTTGAAGTAGGTGAGAGGGTTGGGCCATAAATCTTCCTTGATGACATCCGCAACCTGCTACAACACGAACCTCTGAGTTCAAAATGGGCTAGACATGATGTTACCCTTACAAACAAGTCATTGTATTATAGGATCGTTACCTCGTCGTTAATCTCTACATCAAGGTCTTCCTTGTGTTCCGAATCGTTAAACCAGGTAAAGAAACTGAAAAAGATAATCAAGATAAGAGTCACTAAGCATGTAATTTGCTAATCTGAAAGGTTTAAGTCATTGTGCCAATATTATAAACTTAACCCTACCTCTCTTCAGGTAAAGCACGTTTGTTTCCGTTCTTCTCGTGATTCACTCCATTTGGCAAGCCCTTTATAATTGAGAAACATAGTTAATAATATAATCAACGAGTCACAAACGATTTAAGAACTATGTTTAAGGTACCTTGCCCTCCTTCCATCTGATAGGTGTGGCTGTGATTTTCGTTGTCCCTTCTTCCAGGAAGGTAAAAGTCTTAGTGAGTTTCTCATCCTCAAAGTAGGGGTTGGGATTAAAGTGCTGTAGTTCACAATTCAACTACAATCAGTATACTAAAAAACTAAAAACTTAAACCAATCAGAGCTATCAAAATTATACAAAATGGCATTGTAACAAAGATATGTGATTAAAAAGAAACTTACAAAAGTGATGGAGTATCCAGATTTCACATCTTTGGCATCCTCAACATCCAGAGAGCTAAGATATTTGAAAACCTGTCATCAAACAGAGCTTACTATGATGTAAATGAATGAAAAAGAACAAATCGTTAGGGATGCTTAAGAAAACACACAAACCTTTTGGTCTTCTTCTGTCAAAAGCTCACCTAAAGCAGGGTGGCTCAAGAACTGCAAACCAAAGGAGATTCCCAAACTCTAATCAGACAAAAAAAAACATCTTCTTCAAGCTTTAAAAATGAAAACAGAACAGAGAATCTTGCGTACAGCAGTGAGCCAGAAATCAGGGATGGCTTTGATGATCTCGTTACGCTTATCATAAACAGGCTTCCTTATCACGTTGTACTTCTGCTCCACTTCCAAGACTTCATCACTCGCCTTTTCGTTTATCTACCCCAAAACAAAACGAGATTAAAACCAAAGTATAGAGTCTCTCATTTATTGCTTCACTTCAAAAGCTATCATTGATGTTAAAAAACGACCACATCTCGTTTTTAAAGACACAACAACAACATATATAAAGACAACATCACACACCTTTTTGCATAATTCATAAACACAGACAATTTCTCAATACCAAAGATAAAACCTTTTAATGTTTTCAATTACCTTCTCGAGGTCGTCTTGGATCTCCTGAAGCTTTTCGATCGAGAGGACAAGCTCTCCATCGATTTGCTCGACGTTTTCCTCGTCAATTTTCGCCTTCTTGCTCTTGTCCGCAACCATTTTTCACTTCTCTTAGACGAAACCGTTAACGAAGGAACCCTCTTCTCTCTGCCTCTCGTTCTTGTCCGAAGAGCAGCCGCTTAAACCCTAGAGGTGTCTCGATGTGTAATGTTTGGTGAAAGCGTGAAGTTGGGCCAAAGATGATTTAGGGTTTTAAGGGGTTTTGTTGACCAATAAGATAACGCCATGATAGGGACTGGAGGGTAATATTGTCACTTGACATGTTATTATGTTTTATGATTTTTTTTTTTTTTTTTGACAACATGTTTTATGACTTTATGTAATAATGATTTTTAGTTTTTAATAAAGTAAAATCTACATCCCCTATAGATATTATTTAACTATTTAAGAAAAAAATCATGTGTTGACAAGAAGAAATCAAACAAAAATATTATGATGATTTCTTGATAACTAACTTAGTAATCTAATTTACCAACCATACCTACATATATTAAAATAATAACTTATCACAAAATAATACCAATCATTAACCAGCACTTGTAATATATGTTGCATCATGTTAATACTTATTTTATATCAGTGGGCTTGTAATGGACTTTGTAAGGAGTCTTATGGGCTAGTGATATAATGTACATCTCATACAATAAACACTAGAATTTGATCTATACACACCTATCTTTATTCGTTTTTATATTAGTAGATTAAACAAATGAAAATTGTTAAATCACAAGAATATAATTGTTGCAAAGATAGATTCTATATGGATATTTTTTTTCTGTTTGTAGTATATAATTTGTATGATTTAGTTTATAATTATTTGTAATATGTTGGTTACTCATATTGTGGTTGGATGCTAAATCAATCAAGATAGTTAGTATAACATATTCGTTAATTAGTGATTTTTAATTATATTAACCATTTTGATATATTTATTTATAAATTTAAATTTAAATTATTATGTTTATGTATATTAATAGTTTATATTTCCAAAATAAATATTTTATAACAAATAAAATCAACCTTTCTGTTTTAACAAAATAAGTAGATATGTCTTTTAGCTTTTATAAGACAAATAATTTTCCTTCTTTTTTTTATTTTTGAGGAATTATTAAAATAAAATAAATTAAATTATTATATCTTTATAATTCAATGCATATGTGTGAATAATAATAATAATAATCCTCAAATGATTTAACATATATTTTCAAAATAATTTTATATGTTTTAATAAAACATTTAATAAAGCATTTATATGAAATGAAATAATAATACAGATTAATATTTAATATTTAAAGTTTTTCTGCTACATTTTAAATAAATTTGCATAATTTTATTGTAAACATTGATTAGAGAATATTCTGGTCATAGAATAATGGTAAATTTGGTTAGAGAATAGTTTTAACAAAATAAATGATTTATAGTTAATTAATTTATAATTATTAATTTGTGGATGGCGAAGGAAGGGTTATTATACTTCAGTTATCATAATATAAAGATTTAAACTAAAATTTCATTAAATATTATTATTTATGCATATGGAGCTGGAAATTCATACTAAAATAGTTATATGAAGTAAAAAACTAAGTGACAATAATGTAATACGGTTTTGTTATTGATTTAATTTATTATTTTGTTCACATCAACTACATGTTTGTATTATGTGTTTGGCTACGGAGCTTTTAACTGTTGAAATTAAGATAAAAAGCGTAAGTGAAATAGATTAGCCAGAAGTTTAATTATATGCAAAACCCGATTATTTTACATGTTTAATATTGACACAAAGTTAATGTTGGTTAAATAAAAATCTGCACTATGATTATGGTAATATAACTAATGATGTGATGTTTCTATGCTAATATAATTAACGAAATTGTTAAACTGAGTGAAAAATGAAAAGATAATTAATATAATAACATATTGAAAGAATATTAAGTTCTATTTTGTACTTCAGTTGGCTGACACAAAAAAATATATTATATTTCAGTTTTAATAATATAGATTGTTAGATCTAGTGAAAAATGAAAAGACAATTAATGCAATAACGTGTTGAAAGAAATGTTAAGTTCTATTTTGTATTTAAATTTTAATAGTATAGATTTACCAATAGACAGCATCAAAATGTTGTGCTTCTCAGACTGAGAGGATCACATCATAGAGAAAAAAATTATCACATTATTGATAGTAAGCGTTTGATTTGTTGGAGTTCTTGGCTCTCTACTTGGGGTATGTAAAACACAATAATAGATATACTGTTTTTTTCTTATTAATTAGGGATAGGTCCACGTTTCACTTGAGGTGTAATTTAATTTTTAGTTTATTTGGTTTACATCATATTGTTGTTAATTTTAACTGGTAATATTTGGGTGAACTACAGTGGTGAGATGATTATGTTGTTACTTATTAATTTTGTTAGTCTTGATTTGTTTGAATAAATTGTTCCTTGCATCGGGATGCTTTGTGTTGGCTACCGTACTCACGCTATGATTTATGTAGTGTGTGGAACACCTACCAACGTTTTGATTTGAATACTTCTTAGAGTTTCACAACAGATTCGTCCTAGCTAGTCTCGTAGGTTTACACGATTTTTATTATGTTTGTGTATATCTTTCTAATCGGTTTGTTTTTTATATGTCATCTAATTTCAATTCTTCTCTTCTTTGTTTTAATTATTTTTTTATTTGTATTCAAACTAACTTTTTGAAATATTTGTCATATTTTAAATTTTGATTAGTTTTTAGTAGAAATGTAGTATATACACTATGTACAGAATCAGCTATGTTAAAATTATACAGATCTTTTTTTTATAACTATACTATATTTGTTTGTTTATGAGACATAATTTTGGTTTCTATTTAAATGTTTGTTTATGAGACATGATTTTGGTTTCTATTTTAAATTTAGTTTATTATTTTCTATATGTCTTATTATTTGTTTCTATATGCTTAATTTTTGGTTTGATAAACTATCATTTATTTAAGTTTTTTTAAAAAAAATTTTTTTTGCACTTTTATGTAAAGAGGTTGTGATACGAAAAAAATTGATTTGTTTTAGACTTTTAGATTTGATGTTTTGGCTTCTGGGAAGAATACAACAAATTGAATAAGAGAAATATATTTTCATGCTTAATACTTTATTTATATCACATCTCTTGTGTTTATTTGATTATATTGTGTGGTGTAACCAATTATAGCATTGAGTCTTGTGTCTTTGTTTTTTTCGTGTTCTAGAAACCTTCTGGTACCACAATTTTCAAAACATTTTATGTATATCAAATTAGAATAGTCTTACAAAACAATGATCACTATCTTATATCAAAATTTAGAAAAATCATTATATTCATATATTAATAACTAATAGAACACACAATTGGTCCCAGTTTGAGAGCATTCCCTTCACATTTACTACTAACCAACAATAAGTTTGCAATTGCATAGCTACAAATATATTTCCAATGTTAATGCAAATTTTGTTCATTCTCATACAAAAAGAAAAAGAAAAAATAAACATGTGGTGTGAGATAACCTTTATATATTAATGTCATCTCTTAAATATACAGATATTGTATAATAGAAGAAACATAGTCAATCATTACAAAAATATCGGAAAATTATCTATATCATTAACATAAACACGAACAAATATTACAAAATCATTTGAAAACTAGTTATACAAAGCACACATCAGAATTTGTTTCTTAAAGAAAGCTCAAGTCTTGAATCATAATCTCAGTTTTAAACTTTTTCATATCAGACACCGCATGCTGATCAATTTTGGCTGCTTCTTTAAAATTTCTAGTACTATCTACAACCGAGACAGCTTTGTTACTCTTACAACCGGACAAAAACTTTCCCGACCGGACCTTTTCAGCAATCACCGGTTTGGTTTTAACCACCGAACCATTTCTCGTGCCTCTCTTAATCATATTGAAATCTGAAATAACTGATTCATCTGCCATACTTCCTGTTACCACACTCCATCCAATGCTAGCCTCGCTCGGCTCATAGAAACTGCTCGTTATGTTCTCAATCTCGAACAAATCAGAACTCGCTTCGCTTGTTGTCTCCTCCTCTATCGTCTTGTTACTCGTTGAAGAGTTATTACCATTGTTGTTCTTGGTAGAGGGATGGTTTGGTATCGCGTCCCATGTAAGCATAGAGAGCTTTCTTTCAAGGTTCACGGTGATATCAGACTTTTGAATAGGTATTGGAATCTTTTGTGGCTCCGGATAATCTGCTTTCTTGGCTTCTAAACGGAGTTTTTGTTTATTGATGTGCTTTCTTGCGTCATAAGCAACATAATCCCGGTCATAATTTCTACCGTTACCAGATAGTTTCCTCTCGGTATTGACGGTTTTAACCCTGGAGCATGGACCGTAGCATCGAAACCCACCAAAAGAGATGCTTGTCTCGTTCGTTTTACGTTGCTTATTATCATTGTTGTTGTTAAACCTCATGAGAAAGGTTTCACTGTTGTAACTTGACTCGGATCTTACACTTGGAGTTCCATGTCGGCTTGTTCTTGATCTAGTTGACGTTGTTTTGGTCATTTGAGGATGAGGATAAGGATCATGTTTGTTTTCCTTTTCCTTTTGGTTATTGATATCCACCGTGGAGACAGTATGATCTAGCTTCATGCTGAAGTATTTTTCTGCGCCGAAAACTCTGAGCTCGGAGTCAACATCAGCAACAGTAGATTTGATCGAGGGTTTGACAGAGGTTTTTGAAGAAGAGTGCTCTTGGGTAGAGGAGAGGACAAGTGGTTGAGGGTTATAAGTTGAGATTTGGGGAAAATGGGCACTCTTCTTTTCAGCTTCCATTCTGTATTTTGTGTGTGTATATATGTTCTTTAGCGAGTGACTACTTTTGAAGTGGTAAAGTACAAAAAGATCAAACAAAAGGGATTTAAGGGAAATGACTAGAAGAAGAAATATATGGAAATGATGGGAGACTTTGCAAGAGAAAAGGTTTTCAATGATGGATGTGGATCAAGAGGACGCATTTTCCTTGTTATATATAGAGATAGAAACAATCTTAGTGGAGGAATTGGTTCAAGTCATCGGTAGTAGTCATACAAATTGCAAACCCAAATTAATTATGGCCTTTTTAATAAATGTCATCAAAAATAAGTTTTTATTTTTCTTTCATAAAGTGGGAATAGTACATTAGAACGTCAGAGTTTAAGCATAAGAAAGTGAATAAAGGGACACTTGAATGAGAAGTTGAACTAATTTAGAAATGAGAAAATGCATTTTTGGTAGATTAGTTATTCAAAACAAAACCTATATTACTAATTAGTTACACGTGAATAATTGGACATTTTCCCCAAATGTTTCGATAAAAGCCAAATGAGCAATATGAGTTACACCTTTCACTTTGTAGTGTGTACAGTTTCTTCATCCTTAACGAGGAATGATTCGAGTTATCACAATCACCGAATAGTTCTCTTCTTTGTGTCGAAATTATATTGTGTGTATTTATCCATGAAAATAAGATGTGGTCAATATTATTACAAGTCCCATGTGGCATGTGGAAGTAGAACTAAGAGAAAGAGAAGCGGACCAAATAAATAGATTGGTATTTATTGTTATGCTTATTGTTCAGTAATAAATAGGTTGAAAGATTGGTTTAAATGCATTTTCGATTCCAACTAATATGTATCACACATTCAAGTATAACTCTCCTCGACGTCTGCTGGAGAGTTTGGCAGTGGCAACATCAAAGATCTTTTCAGTATCATATTATTATTGTCCTTTTGGAATGATAACTAAAGTTAACTTCAGAATTTTAACAAAACAAGTGTTTGTTTTTTCTTCATAGTACTTGTCTTAAGGAAAACACAATATATCAACAGAAACATAGTGGACATAATCAACTACTTGTGTCTTAACTAAACAAAGTTGATATACGAAAACGTGGTAGATAAACTATATTATTTATATTGTTAATTTAGCCTGGTAGTAAAACTCATAAAGTTCAAGAAGGAAAGGGAAGTACTAACAAAATCAAAGGTTATTATGCATGTGCTTACCAAGATTTGAATACTCTATGAAACTTGGTAAATTGGATAAACTAAATGTGCGACTATGTATATGCTAACCAAGATTTGAGTGTTCTTTTCCTTCTTCGAGCAAAGATTGAATAATCTATGACACTTAATTTGGTATATACAGATCAAAAGGTGGCTGAGTTGGTCTAAGGCCTTTCTTCGAAATATTGGGCCGGTCCAGTTAATCAAGATATAAGAAACAGTTTTTTTTTTGTGAGTGTGTGTGTGTAAATCTACGGGCAAGTTTTCGAAAGAAGGGCGTACGAACGAGAGATATTACAGCAAAAATTGTCTGGGGTGGTTCCGTCTTTTCCAAAATATTGAGACAATGTGTCGTGTGTTGTGAATGGTTGTGTTGGTTTAGCACCAAGCGAGAACGTTTCGATATTGCCCCTTACTCGTTTACTAAAATAAATTATCACGGAATCAAATGTCACATTCATCCTGGCTCTTCTCTCTTGTTATTGGATCAGTGACTCCGTTTTTACTTTGTGTGATGCTGAAGAAACAAAATGTTGTCTGTTTCTTTTTTGGGAAACAGTTCCTCATGACGTATACAGAATGGTATGAATACAACTTCAAAAATCATAACACAAACGAATGGTAAAAGGAAGGCAAAAATGTTGGAGTATTTTCTAATATAACTTCACAGGATTTTCGCCCCAGTTATAGCAGAGATTTTTTTTTGCTAAATAAGTTATAGGCTTATAGCAGAGAATGTACATAAATTCATTACTTGTTTTTTTTTTTGTATATGTACTTCAGTACTTGGTGCATCTTTTGGTGAGATATATATAAAACACAAACAAAAGTATTCTTGTTCACTTTCTTATAACACTATTCTTTATCACTTTCTTTGTTTGTTTTGTCCTTTTTGGGATCTTTGAGTTTCAAACTTTAAATCCTCGAGAGTATCAGCATTTGCGTAGAAAACTTCAGAGCCAAGCAATATTAAAAAGTCCTAGTTAATGAGCCTGGTGTTAAAGGTCGTGGGTTCGTAACGAATTGTTGTCCTTCTCTTTTATATTTCTTTCTCCCATTCTTTGCCAACTGAAGTCAAAGAAATAGAGCGACCGGTTGTATACTTTGTATAACATAAAAGCAGGTTTATTGTAGATCTCTTAAATTAGATTTCTTAGCATAATAAAATATACAGTCTCTTAGTTTTTAACCAAAAAGGTAAAAAAACGCTTCTTATATCTTTTATTTAAGAGATTCAATATAAAAGACATGCAATAAACATTAAACATGTTCTAAGGAGTCCCGTTTTTATTTTTAGTTACCACAGGACTTATATATAGCTCATTTATATTATATGGTAAATAAATGTCTAGAGATTCACAAAATCACAACATGCTTCCTCCAAGAGTATTTTAAAAATACATTTTAGTTATCTTTAAATTAGAATAAATAAAAAACTACAGTGTTCTTTTCCAACAAGTTCGAGTGGCCACTTAGATGAGAGCAGAAGCAGCCAAAGTGTTTTTGTTGGTAATGGTAACAAACATTGCTTTATGTTATTTGTAATGGCTTCAAATTGACTTTGTTATAACATATTGAGCGAATTAAAATACATGAACCTAAACGATTTGATAACATGATTTGAAATGTGGGCCGCATAAACATTTAACATAAACATCAAAAACATTATTCACACACATTAATACACATTTCAGACATATAAAAAGGAAAATAACTCCACTGAGATATTTTCACATAAAAGGAAAAAAAGATGGATGGATAATTATTTTTAAACTTGAATATCTAAAGATTCACATTGGATCCTAAAAAGATATGAACTGAAAGTCCAGAATTTTCACGAATTTCAAAGAAAAAAATAATATTCATAACGTTCTCTTAATTAATGTATGCAAGTGATGCTTTGACATCATATTCATAATCAACATGTAGATCATGAACTGGCCGGTTGACAATTTTTTCAACTACTAACTTTACAATAAAAACTGATTTTATTGGATAACAAAATGTTTTTAATAATGATCTTATTCTTTTAATATGTAGAATCTTTTGTATGTGCAGTGGTGGTCGAATATTCGAGTGAAAACAAAGGGAAGACCATGGGATTATTGGCACTTGCATGCATTAATTACAATTTTCACGTGATAAAATCGTATTAACTAAAATCCTCATATCTAGCAATAGTATTAGACGAATAAGACCAAAACTTAACTCGCTTATTAAAGTGGGTTTCCAGTTATAAATCTGAACATCTCCATTTTCTGTTGCTGTCATTGACCCTAACTCGCTTATTGATTTGGGTTTCCATTTATAAATCCGAACATCTCTTATTTATGTTGCTGTCATTGACCATATATGCTTCATAATCATACATGTGCTATTGAAAGTAAGCATTGAAAGAGATGGCATGTGTTATTATCTTATAAGGATTCATCTACTTCAAATTCACTTACAACATATTAGCATACAAATATAGACTACAATATCTAACTGTGATTAGTGTAGACTGGAGAATCTTTCATAATACATTACAAAAATTATCCACGGCTCATAGTATAATCTTAAATAAATCAAATGAAATTGTATGTAATCTTAAATAGATCAAATCGTATATAGTTGAAGCTGTAGTATACAATATTCCCATCACATCAAGACTGAATAGATTGGCGTTACTGTAAGTATTTAAATATACATCAATAACCATATACATAGATAAATACATCTCTAATATATAATTCAATAGAAGCATAATTTTTTTTTCTCATTTAATTAAAAATCACCAATACATTTCTTGTGTTTTCTTCCATGTTCACATCTTCGTCAATGATTCAATTAGGAGGAGAATACTCACAAACAACCTCCGTTTGAACTTCCCTCCGATGAAAATTCCGATGACAGCCACAAGCAGCGCACGTCAAAGCATCATCAGTTCCTTCTCCACCTCTTGCCATAAACTCACGGCAACCGTCAACGGCGTAGCCGCCGATATTAGCGGCGTGATTCTTCTGGCACTCAACGTAACGGACGTTGGTCGATGAAGAAGTCGTAGTGTAGGAACTTTTTCTCTGTTTTATCACTACTTGCCTCTTCTTCATCTTTGTAAAAGAACCCTAACTTTTTTTTTCCACAATTATTTCGTTTTGGGGATAAGCAAATACTCTTTTTGGATACACGGAGTAAAAGGGTACTTGCAAATGACCCTCTCTGCAGGCAGGCTAGTATTATATAAATAGCCAAATAGGGTTGTTGAGTGTTGACTATATCTTTACACTGTAGATGGATTTGCTGCAGCATTTGTTAAATTATATTCCTAAACATTTGAAAATTGACGGCTTCAAAAAGAAGTTATTGTAAAATTAAATTTATCTATATTTGGTAAGACATAGACTTTGACATCAATAAGATGTGTAATTGACAAACATAGATTTATATATATGTTTGGTAACTTGATTCAAATGTTGAGTATTACTAGCTAGCTATTGAGTATATCATGTAAACCATTTTTTTGCTAGTTAGCATTGAATAATATGTGTATTTTTTTGAACCTTTGAAGGTATATAAACAAACTAACTTCAAACAGATACACTTATTTATAAGTTACTGTTTAACTTCAAATTAAAAATTAATAAACCCTTTAACAATTTTTTTTAATTGATGTTCATCACTCTTTTTCCCCGTATCGTAAAATTATAATAAAAATGGACAATCAAACCCAAGAAGCGCAGCAACTAGCCTAATTTTTAACGTTATTTTCACGTGCATCAGTTTGCATAAAGAGAGTCTTTAGTTTATTGAAAACATAGTTTACTAGAAATTCAATTGAATGGTAGCCACTAGCCAGATCAATATAAATAAACAAATTGAATAAACAAATTCAATGGGTATCCGAGTCACTCCAAGGGACATGCTCCCACAAGCAATAGACACTGACAGATTGTTGGAGTACAATCGCATTATCAATCACATTTTTTTATCATTACTATAAAGGACCTCCAGTTACGTCCTAATGTAAATAAACTACATCAGTTTTTTTTTTTTTAATTATAAAGCTATATCAATTTCTTCAAACTAACATAGACTATAGCACATAAAAATATCCATATTATCATATATTCACGTTGTTCAAAGTAATATGCAGCAACAACGGGAAGTGGCTATATAGATAACGATATTACAACGAGTAAGCCTTGAGGTTTATTTTGAAATTTTGACAATACGTATAAAAAAAATCAATATGTTTCTCTATAGCTTGATGATTGATGTTTTCAAAATGATTTTAAACATTATCTTGCGCATGTATCTATCATCTATCTATGTCTATCTGTTTTTCTCTGTCTCACGCATGGACATGTTAACCTAACGTCTTATTAATATTTTGTCTATAGTCAAGTTGACTATTCCATTTAGACCGTATAAACATAAGATTAGCACAACTAAATTGTCAACAAAATTGAAATCTATGATGTTTTATGGAGATATTGTTCGCTTACGGTTTTTAGTTTTAGTAATTAGTTTTTAAACCACCAAAGTCGCTTAGACTGACAGAATGTATTACTATTATTTTTTCCATGAAATCTGCCTAATAAGTAAATAGTCAATGGACTTCCTTAATCTTATAACGTGAAAGCAAGTGTGGATCCCAGTTGATACACAAAAGACAATACGTCTATGACCCATGCGATTCGGCTCTATACATTAGTTCTACCCTAAAATGATCAAATTCAAATTTGTTTTCCTCTATATAATTGATGTGTTCACTTTGTAGACTACACCAAGTCACCAACAGTTCTCAATGCTTTAAGACGGACTTTTGAATTATGAAAGAAGGACAAAAACAACAAAATAAAATTTCAAACTATATATGAATATCTTGGAAAAGGAATATAAAAACTATATGAGAACCATGGCATGTTTTCATCTCGACTTCTACTAATTATTGAAGTCTATATATAGCAGATAGTAGTTTTTTTTGGGTTAAAATATGGGCTGAACTTGTAATCTCTATTTCTATTTCCATTTCTATTTCTACTCTAAGAAAAGTATACTTGTGAACAATGATACATGCTTTGATTATTAAGAAAATTTTAAAACGAAAATCACAGAAGATGTCTGTTAGATACAAAATTAATACACGGTGAGTCTCTTGATGAGTTCGAAGAATTTTTAATATGCAATATAAGTAGTAGTTAATAATAACATAATGTTGTTAACTAATTTCATTCGCTGACCAAAAAGACTAATTTCATTCGTTGTAAACAACTGATCAGAATCTACAATCAACCATTCGCAGTATAGCAGAAATTAGTAGTAATATTCGTACAACAATACAAAAAGTAGCTAAAGACAATTATTACAAGTTTTGCAATAGAGAATGAGAGATTGGGTTTTCTTAATATTTATGTGTAAAGACTAAAGACTTTTTGTGTCTCACCAACCGTGCCCTACACGTGAGCCTTGAAGTTGCCACCAAGAATCTTACAGACCCCATACATAGGGCTGGACATTTTATCCGTTAAATTTGATTCGATTCATTATTCTTCTCGATTTGATTTGAAAATTCCGGATATCCATAAAATTTCGAATCAAAGCAAATACTAAAACTCGATATCCGTTAAAGTCGAATCAAATCACAAATAGCAAAATTTTAGGAAGCGGATATTCGATCCGATCCGGAAATATATAAATACATATAATTTATTTATATTTAAAATTTTAAGTGTATAAAATTATAAAATTATTATCTTGGCATATAATTTGACCAATTCTATTTACATTATTACTTATTTAAAAGTATTACATAAAAAGAAAATAAAAAAAATATGAAAATTATGTTTTTTTATTACGTTTTGTATTATTATAGTTGTTAACTTAAACTTAAAAATACAAAATATAGAAATTCACTATTTCTTTTAATTTTTGTTTTATATATCATACAAAAAATATTTTATAAAAGAAATTTGTATCAAAATTTTAAGATTATTTATATTAACCAAAATGAATGAGATATTCGTAAGTATTCGTAAATATCTGCAAATATTTATTTATTTTTGGATATCCGTTTTTCCGGATATCCGTATTTTTCTGAAACAAAGCAAATACAAAATTAGAAATTCGTAAGATATGAAGCAAATCACAAATATTTTAAAAGCTAGGATATCCGATTCGTGCCCACCCCTACCCATGCATATCAAATTCTATTACTAAACTAGAAGATTATCCCGAATATGGGTGGGATTGAATCTAACCTTTAAATATCAAAACAAATATGTTATACTATAGACTTCAATAATCAAAATTAAGAGTCCATTTAGAACATAGTAATATGTTTCTCGTTTTCCATGTTTCTTTAGTTCTACAAGTACTTGTGGGCTTATTTTAAACATAAAGCCCAGGCTGGCTCTGAGTTGTTTGTATTTGGGCTCAAGAGCCTAAACTGTTCAAGAATATTTTTTCACTAAATAGATCTCAAAAGATCCATATATGTTAATCATGTTTATGAATAATAATCTGATTAATCAGAACCAATTCAAATTCCCTGAGTGTCACACCGAGAACAAACCAAGTCTTGTATATCCTAATATATATATATATATATATAATGCATCAAACCAAAAAAACATATATAATGCAAGACATGTTTGAAAACCAAAGATTCAATACAAACTTAAACCCTTGAAGGATTAAGAGAACTAGTTAATCTTTTTAGAAATCACTGAAAGAAAACATAGTAACTTAGACTGCAGAAATAGAGTATAGACTAAGAGTGTCAGCATTTGTTGTGTATAGGATCAGATCCTCTCCCAATGTTTCTTCTTACAGATTGATTAGGATCATGCATCCCAGAAGGTGCCAAGTCTCCGTTTGTATCTAAATTTATTTCCTTCGATGATGATGATGATGACTCTTCAAGAACACGCAAAGGATGAACAGACAGAAGCTGCAGCCTCATGCTTCTCTCCCATCTTAGACTTGTGACCCTATCCGTTTGAAGAAGTACAAAAAATGCGATGAAAAGAAGAAGAAACATTCCTCTATGACGAATCAAAACACACATTTTGAACAATGTTTGTAGATATTAGCTACTAGCTAGCTTGTGAAGATATATTTAAAACTTAGAGATTATAGAAAAAGGTTAAAGAAGAAGAGATAATTTATCTCTCCCTTTCTCTCTTTGGAATGGAGAGAAGATTGGTAAGAAGGAAGCATATATAAAGGCTTGTTTTAGAAGATCTCTCTTCTGACAAGTTTGAACCAAAAAAGCTTTACATTTGGAACTCTGTTATTGGGAAGCTAAGCATATTTCTTTCTTTTTCCCCCTTTTTTCCATCTCCATTTTTTTTTAAAATATACAACACTCATATATATACATAACATTTCTGTTTATTTGGATAAGGCGAATGGTGCGATATATTTTATACTAATATATATACATAACATTCTTGTGCTGCTTTTGAGCATTGTACTTTACACAATATGTCCCTATCAAGTGGAATCACCAAAGAGCATTGAGATATCTTTGGAACATTCTCTTTCCCTGACATGGACAGCCTTTGCATATATATATATGTGTGTGTGTCTACCTGTATTAGAATGTTCATACATAAACTTAGATATCATAAGTCAGCCTCATAACATAACAATGACACTGATTTGTTTTACAAAAACAAGACTATTGTTAATGTAGATGAGGTTTACATTTTTTGACATAGAGTTTCTCTAAGCACAACAACAACAACAACAACAAAATAATATGATGTAGTTATGCTAAGATAAGCAAAACTAAGTCCAAGAAAGAAAGAATAATAATATATGCAAAGAAGAAAATTCGGCTTGGAAATTGTTATTCAAGAAGCATGATGGCCGTCTTAAAGGGTAAAAGTGTTTTATTGAAAAAAGAATATACAAAAATTGAAGGAGAAGTTGGTTTTGAAAGCTTGTGTTAATACCAACTTTTTATAATTCCAAGCTCTTTTCTCATTGTAGTAATATCCAGTCTTGCTTCTTTGAGCACAGTGGATTATTCTTTATGCTTTTCTTCTTTGTTTATTCCCCACTTTAATTACTTAGCCCTTCCCTCCTTAATTCAAATTTAGTACTATTGGACTTATTCATTTCATAAATTTGAGACATTTAGTTCAAATTTATACACACTATGATGCCTTCTTTAATTAAAAATGTGAAATTTCATGACAGATTTTGAGGATCATTACATATCATAAACATCTAAATTTTGTAGTTAAAATAATGTATGATGAAAACAGAAAATGAAATTCCAACAAGAACAAACATGATGTACATTTTCAACACAACCCACAAACACTAACTATAAAGATAGATGGTGAAATATTGTAGAGTGATCATCAATGAACTTCTTTTTGCTTTCACCACATGATCATTCAATCATCTTTTCCACTCTACCGGAGTTGCCTTCCCTGCAAAACCCAAAAACAATCCCATAAAGTAATAAATAGCTGAAAGAAAACTTAGAATCTCTACATATACTTTCTTGTGAGGAAACTTGTTTGAATTGTTTAGGACACTACTAACCGTTAAGAAGAGGTTTCTCGGTCTTCTTCCCGGTTTTGCCACCCGAGTTTGAGACTCTTGTTGTTTTAGGAGAATCAGAAGTGACTCTTGCATTATTACCTGAAGATGGTAGCGAGTAACGTCTAGTGGCTTTCTCAGGCCCTTGATGCTTAGGAGAAGAAGAGCCTTGTAACCTCAGCTTTGCTTTTGCGGATTTAGTAGCTTGCATATAGCTTGGTAACCCCTGGCTACTATTCTGATTCCCATTACTGTTCTCTTGACACTCAGTGGTTTGAGTAGTAGTAACCGGAGAATCCTTTTTCCCTGATTTTTTATTCTCCTTCTTAGCTGAGTTCTCCTTGTTGTTTTGTTTGGGAGTTCTCTCTTCTTTCACATCCTCCTTTTCCTCAACCATTACATTTTCTACGATTTGGTTGTCCAATGTGGAGTCAAGTGTTTCATTTGTTACCAACGGTTCATGAATGTGTTTCAACTCCTCAGGCTCTTCCACCACCACAGTCTCAGCCTTTTCATCTATTTTCTCTTCATCAAAGGCATTCACAGGTTCTTCTAAAGCAGGAGCTGGCTTCTCAATCTCCTTCCGTGGAACTGGTTGAGGCTGGATAGAGTTCTCAACTACAGGGTTATGTACTTTCCTCAAACCACGTTTCACTTTTTCTAGATCAACTTGAGGAGTCTCTGCTGGTGGTGGTAGTTCTACAGATTGGCTTGTTGAAAACTTCCGGAAGCTGCTGCGTTTAGGTTTCTCAAACTCAAATGATGTCTGTGCATCCGAGGGATTGTCAAGATTTGAAGTAGGGACTTTGCGAACACTCTTCTTTGGTTTACCATAATCTCCCTCGACTATCTGAGAGTTACTGGCAAACTTCTTCTGAGTTTTCTTGACTGATGTTTTCTTAGGTTGAGGAATTGGCTTCCAGAAGCATGAGGCTGACCAGTTCTCTAACCAGATTGAGTTGGACGAATCATTTTCCAAGTGCACAGGCATCACGTTTGGGGATGAAGTTAGTAGCTGATACATAAAGACAAGCATCATTATCCACCATCAAGAGCTTCTACTTTCAGATATAGTAATAGTGTCTCTACAAACATACCTTCTGAGCAAAAGCATTTGCAGTAAGCTTCTTGATTCCCAGGTAAGTATGTGTACCAACAACAGAGTCTTCAGGGAGTTTATTCTTCTGATAAGTCAGTTGCAGAAATAAGCTAACCACCAACAAAATCCGAAATCACAGAGTTAAAGTAATGATCATTATTACCAAATGCTGATGATTCAACGGGCATTTTCTCTGAACTTCAACTCCAATGTCAGAATGTCTGATCTCTCTTCCTCGAGCAAGTGCTTGCAATCTGACAATTCCCATTACACAGCAGAGAGTCGCAACAGCTTGCCTTCTAACCATGTGACCGCGGATAAGTGCTTGCAGCCTTATTATACCTTTTAATGCCCAGAAAGCACGCCGAGCCTTCACACAGAAAACTCATTTCAGTATACAACAAGGAAAAAAAATGCAAATCAAAGGGTTTAAAGTATTTACCAAGTAGCCTCTAAAGGCAGCCTGAACAGTTGTTGCTGCAATCTCTTGCATAATTTTGTCTGATTCTGATAACGAATCATCAGGAACAGAAGCAGCCTTTGGAGAGTCTGTTGGTTGGACTTGGACTTCAGGAAGTTGTATCTCATCATCTGAAACCGCTTCATGCTCTATAGTCTGCGTCTCTACCACACCACTTGTATGAACTGTTGCGTTTCCAAAGGATGGAAGATCTGAAACCACATCGGGTTCTTCAATCTTTGATATCACCACTACCTCTTTTCCATTCACAACTCTCTGCGCATGACAAACATAACCAATAGAAACATACATCAAAGAGAAAGGTGATCAGACAAACAGTAGACCGAAAGAAATAAGTTGTGTGGAACAATCACACTGAAGAAACTTAGTCCTCTAAGTACACAAAAGTTTTAAAGGTTTACCTCCTTGTCTTTAGAACCACTGGATTTAGATGGTTTCTTTCCAAGTAACACACTTTTTAACCACCTTGCAGGCTTCCCCATGATGTCCACAACCAAAATTCAAAACACCACCTGCATTTTTCCGACCAATCACAAAAGTTTATATGCTCAAACATTAACAAAAGATCACATAACACATATATTACAAAAGATTGCAGTTCCTTCTGTAAATTTTGTTTATATATAGTGCTTGGAAGAAATGTATAAGCACTCTGTAATTCATCATGCAAAGTTCAATGGATCAGCCATTTGTTTATAAAGACCAAGTAAAGATCCAAACTAATAACAAAAGCACTGGTTCATGAGTACATGATGAACTAAAAGATTTGTACTTTCCTTTTTTATATAATCAGATCTAATGATAAGGTTTTAATCATTAAGCAATGAAATCAAAACAAGAAACAGAAATAAAAAAATACAATGATTTAACCTTTTAAAAAACAAACTAAATAAGGGAAACCAGATCTGGATCTCACCTTGCAAAGTAAGTGAACCTGATCCCAAGCTCACACTACCTGATCTCAAGAGTACTAATATAAACCAAAAATTAGAGATCTTTGAGTTGTATATATAAAAAAAAAATTGAAACTTTACAGTAGTTGAGAAATGTCGGTCTCAAAATTGGAGCACTTGTCTGAATCCGACAACAAACAGAGAGGAAGATAACCCTTACCGTAGAATGGTTCAGTGACAAGATTAGCTAACAATGTATTCGGTTTGCTATATCTTTAGAATCTTTAAGAGCATCGATGAAAACTCTTCGGTGGTGGTTAGTTTCAGTGACCACGAAAAGAGAGAGAATTTATTTTATTTTATTATTTTTAAAATAACAAAAAACAATTCACAGATGCACCGTTCTTTTACAGCCATTGGATAATTATTTTTTAGTTTTTAAAAAAAAAAATCAAAACTTTGTGGGAAAAAATCATTAACTTAAGTAAGGTATGAAAGTTAGGAGTGGGGTTGTCTCCAGATTGCTTTGGGAACATGTGTAATAACTCAGTAGCTGTCTGCGTGACTACAAAGCATTCCCGGATTATTACGTTCTTACCCTTCTTCTTCTTCAACCTGCGCTTGTGAGGAAGCGTGGTGATACAATATAGCTGTTGTGTAAGAATGCAACAGTGTATAAACCATGTGATATTTTGTCCCTCTTCCACACTCGTGCACAGCACATGAAGGTGAAACCATTCAATTTATCTGGAATATTTGTGTCCTTTACGTAATGTCTGTGAATCTGTGATTCCTTCTTCACATCTTATGTGAATCCCAAATAGTTTAAGTTTATGAACAAAGATATTCTCAACGATAACGACCAAAATTATATCTTATAAAAATTGTTTTTAACTGAAACTAGAAAATACAAAAGACACTGCAGAACATTATAAAAAAAAAAAGTGAAGTAAGGTTGCAGCAAACAGCCATTTAGTCTGAGAAACTCCAAGAACTATCCAACATCTAGTTTTTAGCAGCTCCAAGTTTCAATCTCTCAGCAACATTAGCCACAAAGCAGCAAAGTTTTGACTCCGAAGCTAAACCATCTGCTACTCTTTCAATAGCCTTCATCTCTTCATGCAAATCCGAGTGCAGGGCCAGAGTAGAGAAGTTCTCATCGATAATAATCCCCAAACATTTGGTCACATCCTCAAGCTTAGGAACCCAGTCGCACAGCTTCAAACCGAGCATGGAGGCGGCTTTAGGGCATGGACCAGCTTGAGGGAACCTCTCATACTTCTTCATCCATTTAGATAAGTACCTAATGAAGCTTCTCATCTCATTACCATTCAACTTACTGACCGCAGACGCAAACATGACTTCATCAACATCAGACGAAGCTAACAAGTAGTGAAGACAAAGCTCAGAAGGCAAAAACCCGTCGTGAGCAACCATCAGCAAGATCGAAGCCTCTTCAGCAACTTTAGCCTTCTTTGATGACACCTCTGCGTTGCTCACTTTCTCAATAGCCAACAAAGCTTGACTATCCCATTCCTCTCTCACCTTAACCATAGTGCTAACCGCTTCCTTAGAAGGGCAAAGAAAATACTTCAAGATCGAAAGCAGCTCACTCGCTCCAAGATCTGAAGCTCGTTTGATCACAACACAAAGCAAATCAGACCGTTGCTTCTCAACAAGACTGCTAACCAAGTAAGAGTTCAAAGAATGATCAACCAATGAGTTTGAAACCAAAGTCTCAACTAACTCCCACATCTCTAAACGAACACAACCCTTCAAAACCAAACCAGACACATCTCTACCCATAAAACCCCCAGTCTTCTCCACCATCTTCTTTATCTCAGAACAAGCTTTATCCCCCCAAACCAACCCAGCCACATCTTTACCCATCAAAACCTCAGTATTCTCCACCAAATCCTTCATCTCCTTGTTCACAACCCCAACTTTCTCACCAATCTTCTCCAGAAACTGCTTCAACATACTCACAAACTCACCTTTATCAAACCTCTTCGTATCCTTGAGCTTAGTTTTCAGCTTAGACGAAAACTTCTTACCCAATTCAATCAACTCAGCATCGCTTCCAGAGATTTCCCAACCAGTTAGTGGGTTGATAAGAGTACCAAGATTAGTGCTTTCTACCTTGGGTTTCACGTTAGCAAAGACACCGTCTTGGCTAAGAGGGAAAGGGTAGTCAGATTGGACTCGGTCCTGACTCGCTACGGCTTTAGAGATAGCTTCGAGCAACGTCATTGAACAGAGTAAAGGATCAAACTTTAACTAAAATCTGTAAGAACAAAGACAAACCCATAAACCTAAATCCATAAATTTCGTTTCTTACACAAAGAAAGAGTACAAATCTATTTAAAAAACAGAGTTATAGCAATCTAAGTATTACCTTCAGGAGGAGACTTATAAGGATGAAGAGTAGCTAAAGGCAAAAGCTTTTGGATTGTGTAGAGAGGGGAAGTTCTCGAATCGCCAGAAACCTACGCGGAAAAGAGGAAGAGAGATGAAATAAAGATGGAAGCTTGAGAAAGGCGAGCGATTAGGGTTTAGGGTTTTTGTAATTTGCAACAGTAGTTCTGTAGTTTTATGTATTGGCAAATATGCCCCTGTATTTTTCGGACTTATTACATGTTGCTATTGGAATTGGGCTGGGGTGAATTTAGGTTGATGTTCTTCCAAGTCCTAATTTGGTAATGAGCTTTAAGAACTTGGTCAACAGCTCTACTTAGATTGTGCTGCACTTAAAATATGAAGTTGTTTCTTTCAAATAAGTAAAGATATATTATATTGTTCATTTGGTAGTGATCAATGAATACACATCAATACATCATAATCATGTCCAAGTACAATAAAATTACAAGAAAACATTATCTAAATTTTTTGGTTAACAGTATGATTAGCAAAAAGTTTGAACCGCTATATTACGTCTATACCATATATCTTGATCGTGTATCTTCTCGACAATGTCCTCCACATTATCTCTTTTTCTTCTAAGGCCTTGTCCACATACAAAATATTACATCTGTCTTTTTGTTATGAATTATCATTCCAAACAAAAGCAAAAGGTCATTATCTAAAAGTGGTCTATTTGTCCGAGCTTAGAGCATCTCCATCCATGGCTCCTAAACATGAGGTACTTATGATTAAATTAAAAGAAAATAAGGTGATTTGTGAAGTTAAGAATCTAGATTAGTGGAAATTACTTTTACTCCTCCAATGGGAGTACCCCTAAGGGGTCCTTAAACAATTTTTTTTAAATATAATAATTTTAGAATAAAGAATTACATAAAAAGTTTAATAAAATGTTCATATAGATGCAGAGAACAACGATGATACACGAGACGACGACGACATAGACGGTGATTGCCGATGGCTTGGAGCTTCGACGTGGACGGTGGGGGAGCACAAGCAGACGTCAACAATGTAGGTGATGAGCACAAACCTGTTTCATACACAACAACAACAACACGAGCAAACGTCCAAAGAGGAAGAGAAGAAAAATTGTTGACCTCTTTGCATTCTTATCTACTGGAAGAAGGAGATCGAGAGAGAAGATGGAGAGATTGGAAGAGGAAGAGAAATAAGAAGAAAAGAAAAATTGATTTCTGATGAAGGAGAGAGATACAAGAATGAAGGTCCAATACAAAAGTGACACGTCAGGGCTCCTTACTAATCCTACAAATCATATATTAAGTACCGATCCTGTATTTTTTCATCTTTTTTCATTTTGTTTTTTTTGTTTTTTTGCTTAGAACTCTTCCTAAAGTGTCTACCGATGGAGGTGGTCTTATGTTCTAAGAAAACCATTACTCACTAAATTATTTTCTATTAGAAAAAAGAAAAAAAAAATGAAAAAGAGAACATAAACCGTCTCTCGTTGTCTTTGTTAGCTTAAGGAGTTTGTGTGATGTCTATCTTTTAACTCTGAATAATACATGTTATCTCGTTGGTTCTTGACTTTGGATGGTATCTGTTGCCATGTTGGCTATGTTAATGAGTGTAAAATGATGTTTGATCTAATCTTAATTTACTAGATGATAAAAAAAAAACTCGTCTCTTGTTTGAAATATTCAACACAAATCATAAAAAATCTTCATAGTTATTAATGTTGTCGTAAATGGGGTTTCAAGTTTTTTTTGGGTAAAATGTTAATAATGGGGTTTTAAGTTAATTTGAAGTAGTTGAAAATTTTAGAAAAGAGCTTCACCGATAATAATGATTTAATGGTTTTTTGCCGTCAGACACTTTGGTGTATTAGTTCGGATTTAGTTTCGGATTATATATACGAGCAGGTGTGCGAAATGTAGACTGAGAAAAAGCTTAAAATGTTGACTACCAGAACGCTATTCGTCTCACAAGTATATATGTTTTTTAGCCACTACATCACAAATATCTAACGTGACAACTTCATATTTTCTGTAAATATTGCAATAACTTCTATTCCTAAACAAAATTATAGATAAAATTTCTGTAAATATTGCAATAAATTATAGTTAAATGAATGAAATTGTACAACAATAGGCCCCTGATTTAAAATAAGAAATATGAAAATACGAACTTACGAGGGACAGCTCGAAAGGAAGAAAACGTCAATGATTGAGCCTAGTGGTTGTGAGATCATCGAACACTGATCACCACCCATATTTATCAATAACAAGGTACACTCGTGTTTTCGTATCTTCGTGTTTCACGTGGTGTCCTTCCAGTAGACTATAAAAATCCACATGCAGTTGTAAATTTAGAAAAATGACATTTTTTTTAACACAATCTTCTTCTTTCTACTTCTATATAATATTTTATAAAATAAGGATTATAAACGGTATACATTTTATTTTAACTTTCCATTGTTACACTTGTTTGGTTTTGAAATGTACAACAGCTTGTTTTATACACTATAATAATTCCAAATGATACAAATTTGTGGGGTCCAAATTTGTGACGTTTATTCATATATGATCTTTCTTTCATAATAAATGTTGTAGGATTTTTTGTTTCATAAATGTTTGTTTTGTATGTTTAATGGAGATTTTAAAAAAATATCAGTGTTTGCTTATTAAAAGTTATATATATATATATACCAATATAAATGTATAAGTGTGCTAATTAGTACACGTGGATAAGAGACGGATATCTAGAATTTTAAAATACTAGTAGTCTTCCGCTTCGTACAAATCATTAACTTGTTTTTCGAAACTTTCTAAATATTTGGTGTCTATATATTCAGAAAATCAAAAACTTAAAATTAAAAAGCAAAAACATAAAATACAATATATAATATGAATACTTCATTAAAAATTAAAAATATTTTCTTTTAGAACCTTTAACAACTAAATAGTTTTTTTTACGAACAAAAGTACTATATAAATTATGTAGAGATATAAATTTTATATAACTCTAATGTATGTGTTTATGTATGTATAGTACATATAGGGTTCAATATTTGTCTTAAAACTATTAGTATTTGTAATTTACTTCGTCTTTGACGGATATTGACTATTATTATTAGTTTAATTTACAGATATCATGATTTACGGATCACGAGACGAGTAACAAATATAATAAGATAATACATATAGTTTGGCACCCATATTAATTAGTTAGATGAATACAAATTTAAATATGTACAAAAATAACACAATATTTCTGAAAGATAACTAATTATAACCAAACCAGCTAAACAGTTTTTTTTTTTTTTTTGACTGAAAACCAGCTAAACAGTTACTACATTCAGTATGAATATAAAAAAATTATGTCTAGTATAGTTTACAGACCAGCTCATACTAGGTTTCAGCGAACCACATAGCTAATTCTGTTTAACCATCATATGTGCCGGTTTATGAAAGAAGATTATGACTGTTGTTTCTTTGTTTTTTTTTGTTGGTAAAATGATCATGACTGTTGTTGTTCGAACATTCATCTAAACCATCAAGTATATCTGACAATGACAACGAATGGTGGTCACGCAGATCGTGGTGAATTATTTCTTAGTGGGGTTTAGTTTTATTGGCCACTGTAAACATTTTAAATAACATAATATCCGTATTTATTCATATTTCTATAGTTTTCTGGGATCACTGAAATTTGCTAAAACAAATTCATGAAACTAAAAAAACATTTAACATATGGGCCTCATTTCACGATCACTGTGAATTATAATTTTTATTTTGTTACGTGAGGGTCATGCCACCTATAAATTCAGACGAAGACATACCAATACACACTTCAACTCCCACTGTCTTCCATTACAAATAATTAACACCAACATCTAGCTTAATCATTCTCTCTAGTCTCTAATGGCGTCACTTCACATTTCATCTTATTTTCTGGGCATAAATCTGAAAAAACACAACTCCATTTCGATCGTCAAAAGCTACTCTCCATCCTCATTCACCAAGTTTGCCTCTCGTGTCTCTCGCAAGGTTCTTCTTCGTTTTACCACAATCTTTCTTTTGTTGCATGTCACTATAAATATATTACCTAATAACGTTTATGTGAAACAGAGGTTCCTACTCTGCTCGCTGACTATGAACGGGTGTGAGGCTGACCACAAAGAGCCACTTGGCATGGTAGAGACAAGAACTCTATCCACGGTTACGTCACTGGCTATTGCGACCGAGATGCTGATAACCGCCGTATCTAACCTTAAAACCGAACCGCCTTCGTTCTCATCCGGAATCATCCGGTTACAGGTACGTAATAGTTTTCTCCATTTTGTGCAATCCGACATGCACGTGGAGATTTAACATTGGTATGTGTGATATTATTTCATTTACTATCGTAGTTGTCGGTTACAGAATCATTGAATAGACTTGAAAAAAAACATTATTGTTAGATATTATAAGTTCTTAACCTATCCAGACAAGAGAGGGTCCGATTTTGAATTACTATTTTGCATTATTGTAAATTATAGAGTATTTACAAAATAAGTTATTGTAAAAGTAAGAAAATGCCAAAAACTAATTATTTAATCAAATGGAAATTCTACAGTATTTTACAAAATAAATTATTGCCAAAGGGAGAAAATGCCAAATTTGTTTTATTCAATTTGGAAAAGATACAAAAGAAATTATTGTAAAAGTAAGAAAATATCAAAAAGAATATTTTTTTACGTTATTGAAAACCTTATTAAAATAACGGCTTTGTTACGTTCGTTATATTCGTTATCTTTCCCGCGCAAGCTAAAAACAAAAATCATAACTTGTGATCATCACAGGTGCCAATCAACCAGCAGATTGGTGCAATAGATTGGCTTCATGCACAGAATGATGTTCTTCCTCGCAGTTTCTTCTCCCCTCGTTGCAGCGACCCTAGCCGTGAAGATCTTCTCCATGACTTGGCGAGAGAGAATGTGAATGGATCATATGATCGTAGTCCTGTCAGTGTTGCTGGTATAGGATCTGCTGTTTTTTTCCGTGATCTAAACCCTTTCTCTCATGATCACTGGAGATCTATCAGAAGGTAGTTTCACTACATTACAAGAACATAAACTCATGATGTTTTTTTTTTTTTGAATACCAATAATAAAGAAAGTTTTTTATGAATTTTTTTTATTATTTGTGTTGTTGTTGGTGTCTTCGAAGGTTTCTTTGTTCGAGGTCACCTTTGATTCGTGCGTATGGTGGACTCCGGTTTGATCCTAGAGGAAAGATCTCTGTTGAATGGGAACAATTCGGCTCGTTTTACTTCACAGTGCCTCAGGTATGATATTAAAGTGTTTTTGTAACCATTTGATTTGTTGAATGATACTTTCACAGGTCGAGTTTGTTGAGTTTGGGGGAAACTCAATGCTGGCTGCAACTGTTGCTTGGGATGAAGATATCTCATGGACGCTAGAAAATGCTATTGAAGCACTTCAGGAGACTATGCTTCAGGTTTCACTATCCTTCAAAAAAAACTCTGTTCCTTACTTGGCATATTAGTATACATTTAGGATGATATTTATACTTGGTTAAATCAGGTTTCTTCTGTAATAATGAGATTAAGGAGAGAATCTTTAGGAGTTTCTGTTGTTAGCAAGAACCATGTTCCTAGTGAAGGAGCCTATCACCCTGCTGTAACTAGTGCTCTTGAGACTATAAAGGCCAAAAACTCACCCTTAAGCAAGGTACTAACTAATCTTCCTTTTGTTATACATTTGTGGGTTTTAATGAAACTGATTGTTTTGGTTTTTGGGAATCAGGTTGTGCTTGCACGCAGCACTAGAATAATTACGGATACCGATATTGATCCTATTGCTTGGATAGCACGGTTGCAGGTGTATTTTCTTCCATTGCAGATTCTTTACTCTAGTCACTTTATTAAATGTTAAAATCTCAGCGTAATTATTAATATGGCAGCGTGAAGGACAAGACGCGTACCAGTTCTGTCTTCAACCACCAGGTGCACCAGCATTCATAGGAAACACGGTAGGTTTACACCCTTATAGCTTAAGTTATTGGCTCACTATGGTTAGCTGCTGAGAAACAATGTGGAATCAAGTGTTCGTTCTGAGTTCTGACATACATCTTTATGGAACAGCCTGAGAGACTCTTCTATAGAAAACATCTAGGTGTCTGCAGCGAGGCTTTGGCTGCAACCAGACCTAGAGGTGATTCAAGGGCTTCTGATATGGAAATAGAGCGTGACTTACTAACCAGGTCAATACTTTTGTAATTTTGTGATTTTTAACACTTATTTGATGCATGATTAGAAACTTCAAGGTATATGTGTGCTGATATTATTTGCAAATATTTTTGCAGTCCCAAAGATGATCTTGAGTTCTCCATTGTACGAGAGAACATAAGAGAAAAACTAAAAGTATGTTTTCCATCAACAACAGTTCCTTTAGTTCACATTTTTAGGCTCTTTAATAATTATAGTGGCACTTAGTGCCCATGATCTACGAAATGCTGGAACATGTTCCATCTTCTGCATTGCAGGCCATATGTGACAGAGTAATTGTGAGGCCTCAAAAAACAGTGAGAAAACTTGCAAGAGTACAACACCTATATTCTCAATTGGCAGGGCAGTTAAGAAGAGAAGATGATGAGGTTAGATTACCGTTTTGTATGATTCAACATGTTATGATCATCTATAACACTTGATTTGTTGCTCTGATTATTTGAAATATATTTTACATTCATTTATAGTCATCTTGCCATCTAGTGAACAAAGCTACAGTTTTTTACTTACCCCAAAATGGTTTTGTTTATTTTCAGTTTGACATTTTAACTGCTTTGCATCCAACGCCAGCTGTTTGCGGTTGTCCAGTAGATGAAGCAAGGCTTTTGATTAAGCAAATTGGTAAAATATGTTTTGGTTCTTCTGCCTTTTATTTTTTAGCACTGTAATAGATGCTAACACTTGATGTATTATGATAAACTTTTCTTATATGCATATATATTCTTTTTTTCTTTTATAGAGTCATTTGATAGAGGAATGTATGCTGGACCAGTTGGATATTTTGGTGGTGGAGAAAGTGAATTTTCTGTAGGCATAAGATCTGCTTTAGTCGAGAAGGTGATTATTTTTTTAACTTGTAACAAGTTTACTCAGTATACTAAAATTTACAGTTATGTCATTGCATTTGATCTGATCTCTTTTCTTTTGGTATATTCCCAGGGTCTTGGGGCATTGATCTATGCAGGAACCGGAATAGTTTCAGGAAGCGATTCATCCTCGGAGTGGAACGAGCTTGAGCTTAAGATCTCTCAGGTGAGAAAATTTTGTTCTTTAAGACATCAATGCAATATCCATAGTCAATGAGATTTGAAAACATATTGGTTATATATGTGTGTTTATGCAGTTCACTAAGTCACTTGAACATGAGCCAGCTTTGCAACAGATCAACTAAAGAAAGGCAAAATGAGATTGTTTTGTAAATTAAGTTGCTCTATTTAAATTGCTCTGTATCATTCATTGTGTGTTGGTGCCATTGTTGTAAACTAGAAGTAAATCTAAAGATGCTGCATCAAATTAATTTTCTTTTTTTTTGTTTAGCTAAGCCTTTGAAGCTGAGGTTTATGACGTACGTTATGATCCAAAGCTGACGTCTCCGCTGCAAAACAAATACTATTTTTTTTTTAATAACCCGGTGGCATCCACCAAAGTGGATCCAGACTAGCGTCGAGTGTGAGTGTTCGTATCAACCTACGTTATTGGTCGGAATACGCCTCGGTCACCGGATGCTGGGAAGCCCAAATTTTAAATTTTACCCAAGTAACCAGCGGGATTCGAACCCGGGTATTCCGGCCGAATACCTGAGTTCTATCAAACAATGCTAGTAATTGGGCTAATCCAATCAAAGTGCATGATATTATCTTTAGGTGGGAATTGGCTTCCTGAAGATCTAAACAAGGGGAGACTTGAGTATTTCTACTACTTAGTTGCTGGTATGATGACTATAAACTTTGCATACTTCTTATTAGTCTCACATTGGTACGTTACAAAGATGTTGTGGTCAAGGACAATGACATAGAATAAGGTTTTAGTGTAATAAAGATCTGTACTATTACCTCTTTGGGGTTGAGATGATAAAGATTCAACTTTTGAACAAAACATTACATACAAATTACAACCCAAACTGTTCATATAAGGACCATGGCTTCTGTAAAATCCCCACTCCTAAAAACCCGAAAAAATTCAAACAGGGACAGATTGTCCAGTGAGAGCATCATGGAGATGCAGAGACCCATCTTTCATCAAGTTAAGGCTTAAGCTTTTGAACCTCTCTCTTGAGTATTGCCTTGACGCCTTTCTCCAATCTGTTCCTGCTTTCATCATCGTCACAAACTCATCATAGTTTATACGCCCATCCTGCAAACACAAACAAACCCAACATACTAACTCAGAAACTGATATATGTAACTTCCTCATTGTTTAAGGAAGATTGTTTTAGAGATTTTGAAATAACCTTGTCAGCATCAACTTCACGCATGATGTCGTTTAAAACACTGACATCTGGTTCTCCTAACTCGTCAGTTAAAGCTTCTCGTAGCTCATCAAGTTCGATGAAAGTACTTCCATCTTTGTCAAAGAACATAAAAGCTAGTTTGAAAAGCTCATCGTTCTCTATCTTCTGCAAATGAATGATCACAGCTACAAACTCTCCATAATCCAAAAAACCATTCCCATCAACATCTGCCTGCGTCAAAGCCATACGGATTTGAGCTATGTTTTCATCAGAGAAGAAGGATGTTTTGGTCTTTTATAAGAGAAGAGGTAAATGTGGAAAAGTACCACTTCCATCAACATTTTGATCTCTGGTTCACGAAGCTGTGACCCAACCTTCTGAAGACCAGCTCTGAGTTCCGGGTAAGTTATTCTACCATCGTTGTCTTCATCCATCAGTGAGAACATGTCCTTGATCACTTCAACTTCTTGGATAGACAAGTGCTCAGCTATAACCTGGAGTAATCAAATGGATATGATCATGATCAAATACCAATTAAAGAGACCAAAACAATTGATAGTCTAAAACACTTACACGAAGAACCTTCTTTTTAAATCTATTCATCATAGAGAACTGCTTCAATCTTGATCTGACTATATCCCCTAAAGGAACATTTGGAGCTTTCTTTGCATTCTGTATCCAAGGGTGAGCTGCGAGATGCAACGAAGAAACGTTAGTGATGGCATTTAGAATCAGTTCGGCAATAAAAAAAATAGTAACAGAAGAACTTCACCTAACACTTGCTGAGCAGTCAAACGCTTAACCGGATCAGGCTCCAACATCTGCCTCACAAGACTCTTAGCACTCTCTGAAATCTGAGGCCAAGGATCTCTCTTAAAATCAAGAACTCCCCTCAAGATCGCAAGAGCAACACCTTGTTCCGTCTCTGTCAAATAGAATCCACAAACTAACCGGTTTATGTAACCGATATAGATGACAAACAATCACACAACTTCCAAAATAGCAAGAAGCTAACCAGCCCAAAAGGGAGGAACACCACAAAGCAAGATATAGATAATAACTCCAGCACTCCAAACATCAACCTCAGGTCCATAATCTCTCTTCAACACTTCAGGAGCCATGTAATATGGACTCCCTACAATCTCTGTAAACTTATCTCCTACAATACAAGAAACAAAACTTTACATAAGCAGCAGATTCATATGATCAACATTGATACTCCGAGCCACCGTCACCACCCAACTATGAGCATAATTATTGCAGGTTTTTTTAGGGTGGAGTTCTGAGATATTGAAGAACGTCTTAGAACTCATAATACGGTTAATAACCCCGGTTAAGGGATTATTAACTCATAATACGGTTCTTATATCTCTTATTTAAGAGACAGTTCTTAACTCTTCTTAATTAAAATCTAAGAAAAGCTAAGAAATCTTTTAGCCGAAGCTAAGAACCTTCGGCTTAATCATGTTCTTCTAAGAATCTCCACCATAATAAATCTGCACTAATAAACCTACACTAATGATGCTCTAATATTATATGCTGTGATTTCGGGGATTATGGGCTTCGGCCCAACATAAAATAAAAACATTACTAACCCCAAAGATTAAAATCTTTATTACCAGGTTTAAAGAAGACAGACAAGCCAAAATCAATAGCCTTAAGCGCAGAGTTCTCCTTCTTATTAGCAAACAAGAAATTCTCAGGCTTCAAATCTCTATGCACAACACCATTAACATGACACATCATCACAACCTCCGCAACCGTTCTCGCAACCCCCGCAGCCGCACGCTCCGTATAATGCCCTCTCGCCACAATCCGATCAAAAAGTTCTCCACCTTCGCAAAGCTCCATCACAAGATGCACATTCTCCCCGTCCTCATAACTCTCCCTGAGCTTCACCACGTTGGGGTGATCAGGGAGAGTGGACATGATCGCTACCTCGCGACGGACGTCCTCGACGTCGATCGCTGTTCGGAGCTTACGTTTGGAGATGGATTTGCAGGCTAGGGGTTCGTGGGATGTGCGGTCGGTGCAGAGGTAGGTTATTCCGAATTCGCCGCGGCCTAGCTCCCGGCCTAGGGTGTATTTTTCGGTGATCTTTGTGCGGTGGCTCGTTGGGATTACTATGGTCTTGTGAGTGCTACGTGTACGGGCTGGGGATCTGGTGGTGGTTTCTTCGGCGTATGGGTTTAGTTTTCCGTTTTGATTGGGCTTTTTGGGGTTTTGAGTTGAGGTTTCTGAGTTTGGAGGCTTTACGCAGACGTTACAGTTACCCATGGCTGTGTGAAAGAGGGAAAGGAAGAAAGAAAAGCTTTAACAGTTAGCTCTCATAGCGGTGGAGGTGTTTTTTTCCGGCGAGGTTTGAGTTTGTGTTGGGGAGAGAAAACGCGGGTTTGGGTGAAGAAAAGTCAGCGCTTTTCAAAAATTCGATTTCTTTATGTAATAATAAGAGCGTTTAAGAGTAACGTGTACCTTTTGAGTATTGACATATGTTTTTTTTTTCTCTAACCATTGCACCACCTTCTTAAGAAGTAAATAGACTATTATTTACGATTAATTAATTTCTAACTATATTTCTTCCAGATCTGATTTTTTGGTCCAAGCTTGTCACTCATAAAATTAAGAAAGTGTTTGTCACCGCGAGGTAAACTTTGACAAAAGTTACATTCGCAACCATTTAACCAATAGGCCAACTCGAAATTGGTAATTAAGAAATTATTCGTTTAAAAAAAATATTTTATTGCTCTTTCCGTTTCTGAATAAATGTCAATTTGACATTTTTTACGTAAATTAAAAAAGTGGTTGAAATTTATATAAGTTGTTATTAATTATATCTCTTTAATCATTAGTATTTTAGGTAAATAAAATTGTTTATCTAAAATCAATGCAATTTCTAATTAATTTTCAGCTGAAAATAAGTATAATTTATATTAAAATTGTAAAATGATATTTTTTGTGTAACAAGGAAAAATGGTTAAAATGACACTTATTATGAAACAGAGAGATACTAGATTCTCAATAATAAAAGAAACAGTTTTTGACAAAGTTTAATGGTAAAAGTTACACGGAAAACATCATTAACCTATTTTCACAAAGGTAATCGTATATGTCTGTAATCGTCAGGTTTCTAGTTCTAAAGATAACATGTACGAATGTGAATTAGTGAATATGATAATGAAACCTATCAATTTGCAAATGGTAACCGACACCTAAAGTGTTTTGAACATTTAATTTTACGAAGTCAGAAAATTGGAAGGCTTGAATTTGCCAATCTTAAACCTTGCTTAAAGATCACTAATTTGGAGTTTATTTCGAAGATATATATATTAAAATTTTCTAATAATATATTAATAAATTTTAATTACAGAATCACGATTAGCATATAAAAGAAAACTATGGGCTATAATATCCTCCTCACTAGTTTTAAAACAATTATTAAGGATTTACTTACTAATCCGGTATTTAGATTCATAGTAACGATAAGAAGTACAGTAGAATCTTTATAAATTAATACTCGATAAATTAATATACATTAAATATCTCTATAAAATAATATAATTTTATAGTTCCAAATTGAGTTTTTGGTTCGATTAGTATATCGATAAATTAATATCTCTCTAAATTAATAAAAATAAAATTTTGGTATAGTCCCAACATTATTAATTTATAGAGATTTCACTGTAAAATACAAAGGTCCATAGTATTGTAAAAAAAAAATCCATAATAATGCCATGAAGTAAGAAGTAAAAACACAAGCTACAATTAATTATATACTCTTGGTAATATATTATTTTTTTCTTACAGCAAAACCTATATTTTAGAGAATTGTTTCTTTAGCTTTTACTAGTCGAATAAATTGCCAAAAAAATGTTTAACATGTTTATGAATAGATTTATTCCCTCATAATTATAACCTAAATTCACTAGACAGGAAGAAATTGCCGACAAAAAAAAAGTTAAGAACAAATAGGTGTAATAAAGACCGTCAAATATTAGATTGATGAGCAACAGTAACTGCGTTGTACAAAATTAAGAAAATTTTATAACCCAAACAAAAAATTGACTGAAGATTCCAATAATGGAAGTCAACATAAGAAATTTTTTTAAATCAATGCAAACATTATTTATGTCTGGTTCTGAAACTACAAGTCTTCCTATCCTGACTTCTCTACACGTTCAATTTCATACTCGTTATCGTTCTTGTTGGATATACATTACGGCGTTCTCTAGTACTCAAGTGCTTTTGATTTAAGGAGACAAGTGATGTGGGTGGATTCAGTACGTAGACGTTTGAAATGTTTTTGTATCAAGCTATATGGTCTCATAAGAAGTATTTTATACGTTTTTTTTTGTCAATGATTCGGTCATATTAATGTGGTAGGTCAGAAAAGAAGCGGTTTCAATTTATTGTCCGGCAAGACCTTTCACACTCCTATTTATGAACCTACTAAACAAAACTTTCACTGAAAACTATTATGACCATTTCTCTCGGCCTCTTTTTCGTCGGCAACAAATTTAAAGCTGGCAGAAAGTGAAAATACAATCAAAGAAAAACGTGACAAATTATTTGGAAAAGAATATGATGGGCATGAATTATCGTCGGCAATTTCAAAACTAGCATAGAGTGAAACTATAATCAAATGAGAAAAGATGTGACAAAAATATTAAAACTAGCATAGCTAGAGTGAAACTATAATCAAATAAGAAAAGATGCGACAAATATTTGGAAAAGTAGATATCTGTTTATGTTTGGAAAAAGATGGGATGATGGGTTAAACTCAAAATGTCGTGGCTGCATGTGTGTGCATGTCGTTACGCCAACTTTTTGCGTATAACTTATTGTCAGCCCCAAAAGGATGTTCTATAGAACCGGAACGTATCTAGCTCTTATACTATACACTATATGAACAATTTATTGTTTATCTTTTATTAACTTTGGGCAAACTTTTTACAAAGAAAAAACTAAAACATCAACCCGCAGCAGAAACTCAAGACCTAAACCAAAACTTCAAAAAATACTCAGCCAAGTACCCAAAGGAGTAACGGCAGAGCTGGAGGAAGGTGCAATTGTATTGTAATTATCATGCTGTACTTTGAAAGATGCCAATCCTTAATTCCTTATACTATTGTCAGAAACCATTAGCCTTTGCATCTGTGGGTTTTCTTTATTACTGTTAAATGGGTCTTCTCAGTTTGGCTAAATGGGGCTAGTGAGTTTAATAGCCCACCTTTTGTTTTAAAATTAATGATGGTATGAATGGAGAGAAAGGCCTTGCAGATTTAGCAAACTGCAATACAAATATACAATACAATCATTCTTGATTGCTTATAGAGTTACAGTCTTACATACAACTATTCATAAGTTCCTTGCAAATTTTGTCACACAGTATATATAGTTGTATATTAAGAAAATTTTCACATTGAAGTAACTTTTTTTTTGTTCTCTTATTTGTCTCCGTTAATAGTTCCCATTTCACAACCTCCACCCAAATATATCTCTCAAATTTCAGTAGTCAAATACCAGAAGAAACAAAAATCCTGTTGAATACTAAAGTAACAGGACAGTCACAAGCAAGACATGAAAGCGAAATCCACGTGTACATCGAAGCCTTGCGAAACTTGAGGAAGGCAAAGCTTCTACGTTGCAAATAAGAAATAGCCAAAGGTTGAAGAGGTAAAAGAAGAAATTACAAAAAGTAGCTCAACTTGTGCTCCTTTTCTTTTTTATACCCAAATCCATAGATTCTTTCAAAAGTACCACAAACATATTTTATTTTGAAAATTAACACTAGAAAAGTACCGTTTCAAACTTTCAGCACTGTAATAAATCAAAAAGGGATACCAAAAAAAAAAAATTTCATCACAGTGCTGTTAACTGTGAGAAAAATGTATGTAAAAGACAAATCCTATTTAAGAACTGAGTAAAATCTGAAAGGAATAAGAATATCGTGTATTTTTTAGAAAGAAATGAAAGATTAGGGGTTTATATGAAAACTATAAAAAACAGAGAACAGAGAAAAAAAAAAGTTGTGACCTTGAATTCGCAGCCTCCTTCTCCGTATGAGCCAATATGCTTGGAAGAAGGTAGAAGAACGTTTCTCTCAAATTTTGACGGGGAAGAAGACCAACTTTTCGCCTCCATTGTTCTCACAGAGAAACCAAAACCATAATTTAGCTACTCTGCTCCTCCGTGTAACAGGTGACTTGTGATCTCTTCCTTAATCACTGGAAGCTCTTCTCTATGTTATGTTTAAACAATCACAAGATGTGTTTTGTGTTTTTGTCTTTGTTGTCTCTTCTGAGATTTAAAGTTTCAGACTTTTTTTTTTTTTTTTGAATTTGACTTTATGGTTCACTTGTAGAGTATACAATAAAGTTAGAGACTTTTAACTTGTTTAGAGGAAGAAGCTAGTTGTTGTAGTAATGTAACAGAGAGTATGGTTTAGGGTTTATATGTTTGAATCTTTTGAGTTTCATTTTTAACTGCAGAGAAATGATGCGTCCACAGCAAATCAGCAAACTCTCAAGTTCAGCAAGATCTTTTTTTCTTAGTGGATCTAGATCAAGTGCAGCTGATGGGAGCTCCTCTTCTGCGTTCAACGATGATGAGCCTTGTGTCTCAAGACGCCAGCAAGCTGCTGCACAGGCTGGAAAACTAGTACCATCCAGTGTTGTCCCTAAGCCTCTTGTAGTGGGAAGCATATTACCAAAGGATGTAGATAATAAACCGGTTGTTCTAAAGAAGGTTGATGGTTCTGGTCGGCCATCTCTATTACCACACTCAGTTACTTATGCATCAACAGAAGCTTCTTCTTCTTCTTCAGAACCTATTGGGGATCAGATTTTCAGAGCCGGTGTTGCAGCGGTTAGTATTTTGTCTGATTTAGCAAACTTTAAGCTTCCTTCATCTGATGGAGGGAGTGAAGTGTTTGGATTAGGGAAAAGATGTATGGTGGATCCAGCTCGGCCTATTACAAGTGTGAAATCTTCTAATGTGAAAGTTATAAGAAGAGAGGACTTGACCAAATCTTACCCTAGATCATCAGCTGCAAAGGATTCATCATCGATTGGTAGTAAAATTAGAAATACTAGTAGCAACTTCCGAGGGGCTAAGGAAGCTGGATTTGTTAAAGGATTCAAACAAGTCTCAACACAGAAAAGGTATCATCACACATCTGGCAAGAGGACAAGCATGTTGCAAAGACACAATGTTGATTCAAACAGATTTGTGCCTTCAGGGTCTGCTCTGACATCATCATCAAGGCAGTATTGTAATAATATCAAAGACGTGGAGAACGTTTCCAGCATTTTGAAAACATTCAGGTGGGGTCCTGCTGCTGAAGAGGCTCTCAAAAATCTCCGTTTAACAACGATGGGTCCATACCAAGCAAACCAAGTTCTCAAGAAGATGAATGACTATGGAAACGCTCTTGGTTTCTTCTACTGGCTTAAAAGGCAACCTAAGTTTAAGCATGATGAGCACACTTACACCACTATGGTTGGTAACCTTGGCCGTGCTAAACAGTTTCGTGCCATAAACAAGCTTCTCGATGAGATGGTTAGAGATGGTTGTAGGCCAAACACGGTTACTTATAACCGACTTATCCACAGCTATGGCCGTGCTAATTACTTGAACGAAGCTATGAATGTGTTTAATCAAATGCAAGAAGCTGGATGCAAACCAGACCGTGTAACGTACTGTACTCTTATAGACATTCACGCCAAGGCTGGTTTTCTTGACATTGCGATGGATATGCACCAGAGGATGGAAGCAGCTGGTATTTCAACTGACACTTTCACTTACAGTGTCATAATAAACTGTCTTGGGAAAGCTGGACATTTACCTGCTGCACACAAGCTCTTTTGTGAGATGGTTGATCAGGGTTGTACACCTAACTTGGTCACATACAACATCATGATAGACTTGCATGCCAAAGCGAGAAACTACCAGAGCTCGTTGAAGCTTTACCGTGACATGCAAAACGCTGGGTTTAAGCCTGATAAAGTGACGTATAGCATTGTGATGGAGGTGCTTGGACACTGTGGGTATCTTGAGGAAGCAGAGGGTGTTTTCACTGAGATGCAGGAACATAATTGGATTCCTGATGAGCCGGTTTATGGTCTTTTGGTGGATTTGTGGGGGAAAGCTGGTAATGTGGAAAAGGCGTGGTACTGGTATCAAGCTATGCTACATGCTGGTTTGCTACCTAATGTTCCTACATGCAATTCTCTTCTTAGTACCTTCCTTAGGGTTGATAAGATAGGGGAAGCGTATGAGTTGTTACAAAACATGCTTTCCTTTGGTCTACGTCCCTCTTTGCAGACATACACGTTGCTCTTGAGTTGTTGCACAGATGGTCGGTCAAAACTTGATATGAGTTACTGTGGCCAGCTAATGGCAAGCACGGGTCATCCTGCACACATGTTTCTCCTCAAGATGCCATCTGCAAGTCCTGATGGGCAAAACGTGCGTAATCATGTGAACAGCTTCTTAGATCTGATGCACAGCGAGGACAGAGAGAGCAAGCGAGGACTTGTGGACGCGGTGGTTGACTTCTTACACAAGTCAGGGCAAAGAGAAGAGGCGGGATCTGTGTGGGAAGTTGCAGCACAGAAGAACGTTTTTCCTGATGCAGTAAGGGAGAAAAGCAGCAGCTACTGGCTTATCAATCTCCATGTTATGTCGGAAGGAACTGCAGTAACAGCCTTGTCCAGGACTCTTGCTTGGTTCCGTAAACAGATGCTAGTATCCGGATCTTGTCCTTCTAGGATTGATATAGTGACTGGTTGGGGAAGACGTAGTAGAGTGACTGGTACATCAATGGTGAGACAAGCAGTTGAAGAGCTGCTCAACATGTTTGGTTCACCGTTTTACACAGAGAGTGGGAACTCAGGTTGTTTTGTTGGGTGTGGTGAGTCTCTCAACAGGTGGTTGCTTCAGTCTTATGTTGAGAGGATGCATTTGATTTGATGTGAGTGTTTGTTTTAGCTTTATTTTATTTATTTGTTTTCTTTTAGCTGATTGTTTTAGCGTGTGTCATAAGGTAAAGGTTAGGGTAACAATTTGACTTTCTCTCTAGTCTCATTTGTACTCTACCCTTTTAATTGTAATCTTTCCTCTTGCAATAATTTATCTAAGATTCTGTTTTAAGTGTGATGGAGACGTTAAGAAAAGTTGAATAAGCAAATAAGACTTTAATCATACACACTTTTGTCTGCATTATTCCTTGTCCGCCATTTATAGTTAAATCTTATTGTCGTGTACTAACAATTTTTATTATTTTATCTGACTTATTAAAACATTATTATATTTGTAATGTTATTTGCATCATTTTTGCCACCTATTACACTAGTTCCTCAAATTTTTATTATTACTTTATCTTATTAAAACATTATTTTATTTGTATTGTTTTATTTGCATCATACGACACCTATTTACACAATGAAAATAAAATCAAATATTCGTGGATGTCAGTTTGCGCCAAGAGGTAGAAAACGATTCTAGTTTTTATTTGTTTTTTGTTTTATTCTCCGGCTTCAAACACACGGCGGAACATGGCGGTGGCGAGTCTAAGAACGAAATGGATGGCGATGACAGCGAGCATATGGATCCAGTGCACATTAGGAGGCTCTTACACCTTCGGAATCTACTCAGCGATCTTGAAATCGTCTCAATCATACGACCAATCAACTCTTGACACAGTCTCTGTCTTCAAAGACATTGGTGGTAACGTTGGTGTTTTATCTGGACTTTTGTACACTGCCACCACTTTTAATCGACGTGGCCGTGACGGTAGGGAAGGTAGAGGAGGTCCTTGGGTGGTGATCTTGATCGGTTCGGTTTTGTCTTTCACCGGTTATTTTCTTATTTGGGCTTCTGTTACCGGTTTGATTAGGAAACCGCCGGTTCCGGTTATGTGTTTGTTTATGTTGATAGCTGCTCAGTCTTTAACGTTTCTTAATACGGCGAATGTTGTGAGCTCCCTTGAGAATTTTGCTGATTATGGTGGCACTGCCGTTGGTATTATGAAGGTAATTAAAGTCCTTTTATCAAATTTTTGTTGTTAGAGTTTATTAGCTACTGTTTAGGCCCATTTTTAGTTATTTTAAGCTAGACAAAAGACATTCGTAAAAATATTCGAATGGATCTTGTCGGTGATATTTTAGTATTTGTCTGAATTTGACCAAACCCAAACATGAACCCAAAACTCTGAAAAATTCTATAGAGATTAAAGAATTATCTGAAGTTTCTAACTAGTATTTAAAATGAATTATTTTTAGTTGAACATGATCTGATTTGAAATGAGATCTAAGAGCTGCAACGGGTCTTTAAGCGGGAATCATCACGGAAACATAATTAAATAATCAATGGACTTCACAAAAAGTTAAAGATTTGATCTTTAAAATCTCTAAAAAATAACTCTTTCTTAGTGAATCTTTTAACTATTTGTGGAGTCTCCACGACACACGTGGTAATCCGCGATTAATTGGTATTTTTTTTAATTTAACAAAATAACAATTAAAAAAATTAAAAAATATTTTTTTACGGGATAACACGGTTGGAGATGTTCTAAAAGGCTGAATCCGAAAACTCAAAAATGCGAACGAGTACTTGAACGCACGTGCCTGTTTTGAACCTTGAGCTTATGCGTTGGACTTGTTCTTTGTAGGGTTTTGTTGGTCTAAGTGGAGCAATGTTAATACAACTCTATGAAACAATATGCCCTGGAGATCCAAAGAGTTTCATTCTTCTACTTGCAATAGTACCTTCACTTCTCTCTGTATTAGTGATGCCACTAGTCAGGATATACGAGACTACCACGGTCGATGAGAAGAAGCATTTAGATGGTTTATCAACTTTGTCTCTTATCATCGCAGCTTACCTTACGATAACTATCACCGTGAAGAGCACTCTTAGTTTACCATCATGGGCCAACACCATCACGCTTGCAATTCTACTCATTCTCCTCGCCTCGCCTCTACTAATTGCGGTAAGAGCACGCCGAGACAATATCGAGAAGCCATGTTATTCTCCTCTTATAGACAATCTAGAAGCAACAACCTCTGGTGAGAGCTTGGTGGTGGTTGAAGATAAAAGCTTAAATCTGTTACAAGCCATGCGTAATGTAGACTTTTGGTTACTTTTTCTTGCTATGGTATGTGGGATGGGATCAGGAATTTCGACTATAAACAACATTAGACAAATAGGTGAGTCTCTTCGTTACTCTAGCGTTGAGATAAACGCATTGCTGTCTTTGTGGAACATATGGAACTTTATTGGTCGGTTTGGAGCTGGTTATGTTTCGGATGCGTTACTACATAGAAAAGGATGGCCACGTCCGTTGCTAATGGCTACAACTCTCGGAGCCATGACCATAGGGCATCTAATCATAGCCTCTGGCTTTGAAGGAAACCTATACCCCGGTTCGGTTATCGTAGGGATATGTTATGGCTCACAATGGTCTTTAATGCCGACGATAACGTCAGAGTTGTTCGGGGTTAAGCATATGGGAACAATCTATAACACTATTTCTATAGCTAGTCCTATGGGTTCGTATATCTTCTCAGTGAGATTGATTGGTTATATCTATGATAAGACCATTATTGGAGAAGGTAACACGTGTTATGGTCCTCATTGTTTTCGGTTGTCCTTTGTGATTATTGCATCTGTGGCTTTCCTCGGGTTTCTTGTCTCATGTGTGTTGGTGTTCCGGACAAAGAAACTGTATCAACATATCTTTGAGAAGAGGTACTTGCATCATTGATAAGAGTTGTGAATATCATTTATTCAAGTACATAATGTTGTACAGTGCTATTTGTGTTTGTATTACTTGTAATGATTGTTGAGTATATATTGTGTAAATAAAAGTACATATATGTATTTATTTGTGAAGTTTTTTCTGTTTTTTTTCATGTAGAATTATGTGTTAGTTAAATGAATGTAAGCCCTGAATTAGTCCATGATGAAGTTTAGTTGTTGTGTGACATAAATGAAGCATCAATGTAAGGACAAATGTCAAGATCTTACTTTATCTCATTGGACCTAATTAAAAAGGTCATTAATGATCATCCTTGCCACTGAGAGATCATTTGCTTTACATGTTATTAATCATGCAGCCTTGTAATGAGGTACTTAAACTGTCAATTGTCATGTTAATCGTATCTAGTTAAATTTCCCAAATAAATATATAGTTAGTTTTGTAACTGAGAGTTACTTTTACTTTCAAGTATTAATTTACTAAGATTTAACGACTACCCATTATGTTTCATTTTAATTGTCGTTTTAAATTTGTACACACAAATTAAAAAATAATTAATTTTATATATTTTCTACAAACACATTTTCATTGAAATTATAAAATAACACTTATTTAAAAAGGAAAAATTTTACTCTAAAACGACATTTAATTTGAAACGAAAAGAGTATAATACTCGTGGTTTTTATATCACTTGTAAAAATTACAAATTATGTAATTCAAAAATATTTTCCTACCTTTTTAAAGTTTTTTTTTTAATTCAAGAAATGCTCTAATTATTTCTGGTCAAATTTGCAATAAAAAAAAAAAAGGGAAATTGCCAGAAATAACACTTTCAAGATACCACTTTTCAACTTTACACTAACCAACTTTACCACTAAAATTTTAATACTCAAAATACTATTAGAATTTAGGGTTTTGGGGTTTTGGATTTAGGATTGATAGTTTAGGGTTTAGTGTTGATTTCTTAGGGTTTAGGGTTTAATTTTTAGGGTTTAGAGTTTAAGTTTAAGGTTTAGAATTGATATTTTAGGGTTTAGGGTTGATTTTTAGGGTTTAGGGTTTACTTTTTAGGGTCTAGAGTTTAGAATTGATGTTTTAGGGTTTAGGGTTAATATTTTATTTAATATTTATTTTATGTATATATATAAAGAATAATGATATAAGAGTCTTTTATCCTTTAATAAAATGTGTATTTTTGAAAATGTTCATTTGTTGATGGTAAATATGAAAAGTGGTACCACCAAAGTAGTGGTATAATTGAAATTCTCCCAAAAAAAAATTGTAAAACTACATAATAGAAGCCACATCATCATTCTAAAATCCTTTTTTCTCCTTGTCTTAATAAAAAAAAACCTTTATATAAATAATCTCTCTCTCGAGAGAGAGAGAGCCCTAGCATTGTTTACCCCTATTTCTCCTCTCCTCTTGTGTTTTGTTTTTCACTCGCTGAGTCGTTTTCTCTCCAATCCGATCAACTCAGAGAGAGGAACCTATTTGACCCCAATTATTTACCCTCATCTTTTATTTCATTGTCTCCTTTCTTCCTCTTCTCTCCACACCCCCCAAGAAACGACAACGTTTCCATCAAACACCCCAGTCAGACGCTTCCCTTCGTCGTCCTTCCCTTAAAACCGATTTTGGAACTTTAGATTTCAAATTTAAAAAATCAAAAACCCTAATTTCGATCTCTCGATGGCTTCCCCCTCCTCCGACGCCGACGATGCGTCATCTCCGGCCACGGAAACCGAAATTCCCGCGGAGGAGACTGCGACGCTCGGGAGAAGGACGAGGCCGTCGCGCGCTTGCACTGTTCGCGCGCAGCAGAGGCTTCAGGAGCAGCAAGAGGCGGAGAGGAAGCTCAGGTTGCCGAAGAAGGAGAATAAACGGGAGAATCATCGACGACGGAAGGAAGAGGTTGAGGAGGAGGAGGAAGACGATCACGAGGACGAGGAGGAGGAGGAGGACGGAGATGGAGATGATGATGTTAAGAGGCAATGCGTTAAAAGCAAGATCGTTACTTCTCTTGTTCAGCCACCGGAGGCTTCGCAGATGCCGAGGTGGAATCTTAGGTCTATGTGGGAGCTTGCTTCTGTGCTCAATTTCTTGCATGTGAGCTCTCTCTCTTATTCTCTTCTATTCAGTTATGAGTTTTTGTGTGTGTGTTTTCCTTACACTCAACAAAGTTTGTTCCTTTTTTGGATTGGTGAAGGTATTTAGGCCGCTTTTGAAGATCAATGCGGAGTTTTCAGCGGAGGAGTTTGAGACGGCTTTGCTGAATCCTAACGATACTTTGAGTGACATTCATATTCCTCTCTTAAAGGTTGCTGCTTTTTGTCTTTCCTTTATTGATGTTTTCCCTAAGTCTTGTTGGTTTGTTTTTGGTTTCTGTCATTGTTAACTTCAATGTACTTTGGGGAGTTTGTCTCATTGACATAAACGGAACTTCGTTGTCACACAAGCGTGCTTTTGTGTCCTCTCTTAACCGAGTGTGGGCTCTTATTAGTAATACAATTAATGATGGAAAACCTTTTTGTTAGCGTATTGGATGATTAGATACGGTTTAATGTTTTTTGGCTAGATTCATTCGTAGACACCTTATAGGCTTGTGCTACCTAGTAGAGGATCACTAATTTATCTGAAACGCTTTCTTGAGTTTTTTTTATGGGTTTCCTGTTTGAAGTCCTTGATCATTGTGTTGAATGATGTTATGATTTGTAATTTTGTGCATAGCTCATGTAGATTCTTTTTTTTGTGTGTGGATGATTTGGAATTGAATGTACTCTTTACTACCATAAATGTCGAAAATGCAGTTCTCTGTGAGCAATATACTAATAATCTCTTTTCAATTATGCAGGCCATTCCTCCTGTAACTCGAATGGCTCTCACTCGTGATACCTGGGTCACTGTCTTGTGCAGGAAAATAAGAGATTGCTGGCATTGGGTAATGATTGCTAAACTGCTTTGATCTGATATTGGAAGTTCCATTTTTTTTTTTTTGGAATCATACCATGTTCTGAAATGACCTTAACCTACTTGCTTAGGTTGCAGAAGGGGATCTTCCTATTGTTGCCTCGCAAGGGTAAGTTGTTATAGTTTTCTGAATCTCATGGTAACTGATTAGGAAGCATTTATGAGCTTCTGGTCTTAATCTTGTAGGCGAGAGATTGAAGCGTACAAATCTCTTGATCCGGCCATTCGTGTGGTGATTTTGAAAGCTTTATGTGATATTCGTGTTGAGGTATTGTTGCTGCTGTATGTTAATCTGTTTGCGATTGATGATAAGTGTGTTATGTTTTACTCCATAAAAGTACTCTTTATGATGTCCTCTATTAAGCTCTGGAGCTCGCTGATGCGCTGCTAATGAAACCAGATCTTTATAACACTTACAGTTTCGATGGGTTTTGTGAATTTCCACAGCAAGATGATATTAAGAGCTACATTGACAACTCTATTAAAACTGGTGTTCATCTGTCAACTTTTCGCAAAGACCGCGTTGGGGGTGATTCACATGGAGTTAATTTTTGGTATGTGGTAAATGCAAGACATAAATGGGACTCCCTTGTTTGCATATTTCTGATAGAATCTGTTTGTTTATTATATAAGGTATGAGGATGATTCCTTAATTGGTCATCGTTTATATCGGGAAATAAGGAAGGCAGAGATGGTTAAGGTCAAAACGAAGGGTTCTAAGATTCTTCCTAACGTAACATACCATTGGGAAACCGTTGCCACAAATTTCGATGAATTCCAAGATGTTTCTGTAAGTCTCTAGTCACTACTATATCAATTATTCCGAATTGCTCAGGATACATCCATATGGCTATTTTCTCGCAATGAAATATGGTTGCTTCGCTCTGATGTGATTGTGATGATTAGATAGTGTGATGGCTAGTGCTATCTATGCACTCAAATTAATCTTGTTTACTGGAGTTTTCCAGATGCTAAACATGGGAATAATACTCTATAATATGTAGAAAAGTATATCTCGGGAATCAGTTATTTTCGGAAAATGGATGTAACTTTCTCCCAAAGATTGCTACTCAATACAACGTGGTCCATGTCTTTTTAGTAGTTGTAAATATCGTCGATCTCTTTGGTGATTGTGAGTGATTTGAGTTAAATATCATTGCATGCTAGAACTGGCTTAAAGATCTGTAGGGGCAATGTTGCTGTAGTTGATAGTAGGGGCTTAACAAGGAGGACATAAACTACTTTATATTGTGGATTCGTTTCAGTTCTTTAGTGCCTTCTTCCATGGACTGGAGACCCTATGCTATTCTTGAAACTTCTATTGCGGACTGATATTTCTTTTGTTCTGACTGTCAATTGATGCTTTACCTCTCTGAAGGACTACAGTATTATAATAGACGTTAGGTATAACTTTCTATGTGTTTACTGCTGATTGAGATGCTGTGTGTCTTTTCAGGAAAAACTTAATTCAAGTAGTAGTAGAATTGAAGTTTCTCTGGGAAAGAAGTTAACGAGAGATATGCTTCCTGAGATAGAAAAAGAACACACGGTAAAAATTTACTCTCTACTACTTAATTCACGTTTGTGGCGGAATATTCTTACAATCGCATTTATAATTTTTTTTCTGTGTGTCAGAGGAAAGAGAAATTGTTGAAAAAGCAACATAGACAGGCTCTTCTCCTTGATAACTACTTGGTTGCTGACGGTCTTGGTGGTGGCCGTTCTCTCCGTGATCGGAAGCCAGTTAGATACACTTTTGGTAACATTTTGACTTTTTTGGGAATTCATGATTCCCCGTGCTTGGATTTGTTTTTCCATTTTTGCCTGATTAGATGATATCCAGCTTGTTTCTACTGGGTTGAAGAGCCTTACTAATCGTTTAATATAATTGCAGATGATTATGATAGGTCTATAAACGAAGCTATCAAAATAACAACGTACGTCTTGAGTTTCACTTGCATTGAACCATCTCTCTTGTTGGTTTTCTTTAACATGTTATTGCCTCTTACATTCTACTTGTTTTGATGATACCATCTCAGGAAGAATCATCCATCACAAGAACCGTTTTTGCACAGAAGAGAATCATCTAGATTGGACTCTCTTATGAATGGCAGATCAACAAGTTCAAGTCACCCTACTGACCCTGTGAACGATACAGTATCTGGTAGCTCCTCTGATTTTGCTGATGGTGATGAGTTCGATGAGCAGAGAGATGAATCGTTGGACAGAAGGCAAGACGCATTGAATTTTTCTATTCCCATTTTGAAAATTTTATTGGAACTAACTGAGTACAATGTCGTGACAGTAACAGGCGCAGACAACGGCCCCAGCGGTATTCAGCAACGGACTTTGTTGAAACTGTTTCAGACAATCATGTAGAGTCTGGAAGCGATGATGACATTGTTGGGGAAGCAGTTTATGATGACGAATATCTGAGGAAGCGTAAACAGAAGAATTATTTTAGTGGTTCTGAGGGAGAGGGAGAGGAAGAGAAAGGAGATGAAGAGTACAAATGGGATGAAGACAATGCTGAGTACGAGGAAGAAGAAGAAGAAGAAGAGGAAGATTCTCCAAGTGCTAGCGAAGAAGATAGTGATGAACCCCGAAGGGTTAGGAAAATGCCACGGAGAGAAACCAAGTTAAAATCAAGGTCAAATGGTTTCCGACCAGGCTTGAGGCGTAGTAAAAGAGCCACAAGAATCGATTACCAACAATATGAGCTCTCGGAATCAGACAATGAAGCAGCAGGAGCAGCAAAACGTAAGCGATTGGTTGAGCCAGAGCCAGATGAAGATGAAGATTCTGATGAATCAGGGAATGGAGATTTCACAATGGGAAGTGATGACTCTGAAGAAAATGCAGATGACCTAGGAACAAACTCTGCTGAAGAAGAAGTAGAAGAAAAAGAAGAGCCCAGAGAGGTCAATGATAATACCGGGACCACAAATGGTACAGAGTATAATCAAATGAACAATTCGAATGGCACAGACCAAGAAGAAGTTGAGGGTGTATCAGGCAAAAGGCATTACCTCGACCTCAACGAGCTTGCTCCTGTATCCGGTTTTGATGATGGTCCAAGTACAGTATTGAAGGACGATGATAAGACAGACAATTCATAGACAAAGACTCTCTGTTTATTTCTGGCATAAACACCTTCCAGAGAGAAGTTAAAAGAGATACTCCATCTGCTGTTTCTGCATTCAGTCATATCTGCCTTGTTGTTTAAAAGTTAATTTCGGCTGAGATAAGTGAAGTGGAGAATGATGGAGAGGCCTAAGAAGAGATATGTGTACTAGATTAGGTTAGTTATTTTTTTCTTACTCTGAAAGAGAAACAATGAAGAGGTGAAGCAGAGATTCCTAAGAACGGTTTAATGTTATGGGATTATTGTTAGTGTACAATTATCTTTTTGGATTTTTAACCGAAAAACCTCAAATTAAGTTTATTTAATGTATTAAACCTTCTGTCTACAGTTTACATCAAAATGACTACTAATACTGGTAAATTCTCCACTTCACTAATAAATTAAAAAATCCAAAAATAAAAAAATAATACCTTTATCTAAAAAATAGTAATTTAAATTTGTAACTTTAGCTTTTTAATTTTTTATGCAAAAAATATAAGTATGATTTGTTTTTACAATCCACACTTATATGTAGAAATTGAAAATATCTAATAAAAATTATGTATTTACCATTAATAAAGATATAAAAAATCCAAAAATAAAAATATGTAAAACTTTAAAATAGAATAACATTATCTAAGGATTAGTAACTTAAATTTTCAAATGTTACTTACTAGTTTTAGATAATTAGTTTTACTTTAATGCCGACCAAAAGATCCATTACTACGAATCAATTTATACATATACAATGTTGATTTTAAAACAAATCCAACTCATCAATTTGCATAAATTTTTTAAATGCTAATTTAAAAAATTTAAGTTACTAATTTTTAAATAATGTTATTCTATTTTAAATTTTACATATTTTTATTTTTGGATTTTTATATCTTCAATGATAAATACATAATTTTTATTATATAAAGTGCTGATTTTAAAAACAAATCATACTCATATTTTTGCATAAAATTTTCAAATGTTGAAGTTGCAAATTAAGTTACTAGTTTTTAAATAAAGGTATTATATCTTTATTTTTTCATTTGTTGGATTTTTAAAAATTTTATTGGTAAAACACCTCAATTATGTTTAGTTAATGTAAAAATCCCTAAAACAATCGGTACTAGTGGTCATTTGACCTATACTGTAAACAGAAAATTTAATCTATTAAATAAAGTTAGTTTGAGAGTTTTTCCTATTAAATATTATAGTAGAGAAGAAAAAAGATAGATAAATGAACCTTATTAATGTTTAGTTTCGGATTATTCATACATACAGTATTATTACACCTTATTGTATCCGATTATTGCTATTGAATCACTTGAGAAATATCGTTTTCAGAAAACATAAATCAAAAGATTTAAACAGCAAACTTGGACTTGAGATTGTTCACAGTTGCATCATCAGTCCTAAACGTTTTCGTTAAAACGGCGTTTGGAATCTCAGGCACTGAACCAAACAAAGTATTAGGCAGAACCACTACTCCTGGAAGCTGACTGTTAAAAGCGGTTATCAAACGCGCTTTGCCTTTACCAACGTTCCACTGGAAATGAACCAAACCTCTAGGGACAACAAACATCTCTCCAACGTTAATAACTTTCGAGAAAAAAGTGTTGTTCGTTGTCAAGAACCCTACAAAGACCGAACCTTCGATCACAACTCCTGCTTCGGTTGCACGAGGGTGCGAGTGAGGAGGGTTCACACCTCCTGGAGCGAGCTCAACGTTGTTCATTGATATTCCTAAAGTGTTTAGACCAGGAAACGTTAAGACGTTGGCGGGAGCAACGGTGGCACCGTTAGGGTTTGAGGTGTTTAGAGGACCGCGTAAGCCGGAGAAGAAGAAGTCAGATGCTGAGACTGATGATTTGCATGGGAAGCCATTGATGGAAGGAGAAGCTCTGAGATCGCCAACGCAAAAGTCTTGTAAAGGGTCAGGGTCAGATGAGAATGATGGGATCACGAAGAGACAGAGCGCTAGAAGGAAAGAACTGAAAAGAGAAGCCATTGCTATTGAGTATTGAGAATGATGGAAACAGAGCATCCTCTGTTTTGTATATATAGTGGTTATTCTTGGTCATTGGTAAAAAATCTCTTTTGACTTGTTCTCTTTTAAAGTCTGTTTTACTCTGCTTTCTAAATGTTTTTTAATTGATTGTGTTGTGAGAATCTTTCAAATTAAATGGCTAAACTGTCTTTGTCTTCTGGCTTAGTCTTAAAATACATTATGATTTCAAGATTTGAGCTAATGTCTTTAGTTTAAAGAGGAAAAGTTCATAGAAGTTTTAGTACTCAAATGAAATTCATTGGCTGAAAATGAATTAGCTGGTAAGAATCTAAACAATTTATGTTTAATCAACCTTTTGGCCTGGTCAAGTCTCTAAGGTTTGTTCAAGTGACATTTTCATTAGGACAAAAACATTTTTAAAATAGTAAAATTAAATAACCGGCATCAGGGTTAAAGCTTCAGTGAGCCTTCTAAGAAAGATTCAACCAATTAAAGTAAGAAACAAGAAAGGCAGAGAAAAGCTTTGCTGTAATATATAATTTCAGTATACAACAGATTTGATACAAAGATGTTGTTTTGTATTTCTTCTAATGGTAGACGAAGAAATAAGTAAACAAGATTTCATGATTCTGATGGCATTTCAATGAAACTACGAAGCATATGCAGATTCTGAGATATCTGTAACAGAATTGCTTCACCTTCACTAACATCTAAAACTTCTGAAAGTTGCTGCAACAATTCACCTTTTGATTCAATAGCATTTAGTCTCTCTGTAATCTCTGTAATCTCCTTTACTAACACAGCTTTTCTGCTTCCATCTTCTGTAACAAAAACATACAAGATTCAACCTCAAGACTTTTGTAAAAAAGAAACATATAACCTAATGAATCTCTTACCTCTTTCTTCCTCTATGATCCCACCATTGTTGGCTTTAGGCTCCTCAGCTGATGAATCTTCCTTGTGTTCCAAGTCTTGTTCAGAATTTGAAGAACAAACCGACAAATCCAATACCGGTTTAGCTTCATCAAGAAACTCATCAGCTTCTTCTTCTCTCAACAATCCATATCTCACTCTATAAGCATCAATTTCAGCTTCAAGCTCTTTCATATCCTCTTCTCTTTTAACCAACAAACCGTTCATAGATTGCAAAGCTTCCTGATCATATTCCGCTTGCTCATCCATCATTCTCTGATACTGCAATGCCTCCATTTGAACCGCAGCTTTCTCTGCTTGAAGCCTTGTGATCATAGCCATCGCGTTGTTTGCCGCAACAGCTGAAGCACTCCTCTCTTCATCTAACTCCATATACAAATCCATCAATGACTTGCGGTCCAATCTAACCTGCCTCTTCAAATGATGAAGTATTGAATCTCCATCCAACACTTCACTCTCTGCCCCATTATTATCAATCAAAGACTTCTTCATAGACCTAACAGACCATCTTGGACTGTTCATAGCAGAATCAAAGAATCTATTGTTCCCTCCTTTTACAAAACTTGGTGTTCTATCATCAACCGTGTCTCCCAAGGCACCTTTGGTGTTACCAGAATCTTCCTCCTCTGGCAATTCTAAGTATTTAATGTTAGATATGTCCAAAGATCTTTGGTTAAATGAAACTCTAGGAGAAGGACTAGGACCAGCAAAGAAAGATTGATTGCTATTATTCTTCGGTTTCTCGGTTTTTATCTTCAAGAACTCTCCACAACAAGAACAATGTTGCTGTTGCTGAAACCTGTTGTTAGTTCTTTGAAAACTTTCGTCTTTCTTCGAACCCGCAACCGGAAACGCTAGCTGAACCTCACGTTCATCGATAAGAAGCTCAAGATCCTTATGCAAGATACCAATAAGAGACTTGTAAGTATCAACATCTGATTCTTTCTCGGTTGCGAAAGAGAGGAGACATCCTTCACACATATGTTTGATCTCAGAGAGTTTCTTGTGGACATGACAATAAGCTAAAGAAGAGATGTTCTTCTTGTGGGAGTCGCAGATGGAGTCGTTGTAATAGAAGTCAGGGTTTGTTTTGACAAGAACATGGTCAAGTCTTGTGCAGAGGAGACAAGGAGTTCTGAGGTTGAAGAACTTGGAGAATTGGTTGGAGCAGAAAGCGAGGAGACCGTCTATGAAGAGGAGGATGATGATGATCCATTCAAGGATAGCGTAGATGATGAAGTGTGGGAATGTTCCAAGTTCTTCTTCTATGAAGTTTTTGAAGGAGCGGTTAGACATTGTTGTAGAAGGTAGGATCAATCACAGAGACAAATGAAGAGGAGCAAGAATAGAGAAGATGATCTTAAGAGGCCACGCATGAAGATTGAGATGGTGGCAGAAGAAAAAGAAAAGACAAAACAGAGGTTTATGACATTTATTATTTAGTCTTCTATTTTTGGAAAGAGAAAAGGATTTTGAATTTTTAAGGTTGAAGACCAAAAAATACCTGAAATAACGGTTAATCGCAGATAATGAAAATTTGGTAAATTTAGAGAGTTTGGATAAAATAGAGAGATCCATCAATGGATTCTTAGATGTTTATCTCTAATCATCCGTTTAAAGCACAGATAAGAATTAACTACACCTAATTATCATCATCTAGGGAAATAAAAGATAAAATCCTTAAAAAGGTCAAAGTGGCTCATGAAACTGGCAACATTACATCATCATGACATTAACGGTAATGTACCACATGAACTAGCTCCAAACTTTGTGTCCATGAACGGGAGCCACTACATGAACTAGCTCCATTTTTTACAAGGTAATTAGTTATACTGCTTTATTTTATTTTTGGAAAAGGATCTATGTCTCACTACTACAATTGAATTTGATATCCGTATTTGAAGGATAAGAAGAAAAGTTGGAGTATTAATGACGAATTTACCGAATCAAAACAAAATATTATTAATAGTATGAATGACACTTCCTTCTATCAATGTGGCAAATGCTTCCAAGCATACGAAGCTTCAGTGAAACATAATAATGTTGATATTTATAGAAATACCTTAAGATATTATACTTTTTTTTGTCAACACCTTAAGATATTATACAATCTGCCAATTTGTATAACGTCACAATACTAAATTTGAAATCCTACAAATAACACAAATGACGGTGTAAAGTATGTGTTTAGCCTTGATGAATTATAAAAATAAAAAATAGTTTTGGATTCCTACTTCGCAGTTCACAGTTTTTAAGTTTAGATTTTCTCGAATAGAATATGGTTTTTGTAGCCACTTTGATATTACACTTATGTTATTAGTGACACATTTTTAGATGATTGGAATCAAACTAAAAAAATTAAGAACTGCCCCTTTCTGTTAACAAAAACACAAAGATGTTTGATGTCTCAACACTGTCTTTGTATTGACCCAAAACAAAACTGAATGACCAAAAACAGAGATGTGGTATATTAACAGACAGTGTTAGCTAAGATCTTGGCTTATATAGTTATATATATATATATATATAGATTTCAAAGGAGAGATGAAAGGTTTTCAGATTCTGATTTCATCCGTTTTGAAGATGGAAAGTCCTTGACAGAAGAATAATCATGACTTGATGATGATGACGGTGATGGTGTATCAATGCCTTCTGCAAGCTTTCTCTTGTTAGAATGGCTTATAGTTTTACAGTCTTCTGCCTCATTTCTCATTATTAGTTCTTTTATTCGCTTTACATCAGCTAGTTTCACGGGTTTTAACAGAAAATCCTCTGCTCCTTCTTTCAGACATCTGAAAGAAAAGAACAAGATAATCCGCATAGTTTAGATCACAGTATAGACCAAAAAATGATCAACTTTGTATTATTTACACATTTACAGAATCACTTACTGTTCTATACGAGGTAAGATGTTCTCAGATGACATAATCACAACTGGTATTTCTCTGAAAGCAGAAGATTCCTACACATATCAATGCAATTTGTATGAGTATTAGAGAAGATTTATTAAAAGATTTTCTCAGATTGATAAAATCAAAACATATTATTATTACCTTAATCTTCTTGAGAAGATCATATCCTGTTAGTCCTGGCATTGAGTAATCTGTCACTATCAAATTCACCTTCAAATCCTGTTATAAGAAATATCACACATAATTAACGAAAATCAGATCTTACTAGCAAAACAAACTGATAAATAAATAAATAAAGTCTTATTATTCCATAGTTAGAGTATTTATCTATAACTAAGCAGATTTGTAAAGAGAATTACATTAAGGCCAGAAGCTCCCTTGTCTCCATCTAATCCAAGATACTGCAAAGCCCTAGTCCCACTCTCCACAGTAGTCACTGAAATAATAAAAACCACAAAACATTAGATTGAAGATTATTTAGACACTCAGAGAAAGGACAACATAAAGATAGTTAGATTAAATTGATATTGGTATGTACCTTTACAGGCAGAGATTCTTAGCAATCTCTCAATGACTTTACGATCCACAATACTATCATCAACAGCTAGAACATGTAACTCCGGCGAAGTAACTGACAAATCTCCACTGGCGGGAATCTCCATCCTCATGACCTCACCAACAGCCATTGCTAACTTAGAAAAGAGATGGAAGATTGGTTCTAATAAAACGAAGAGGAAGCTTTGGATTAAAGGGAAAGAAAAAAATCTTAAAATCAATGTGATGTGATGGAGTAAGAAGAAGAAAGAAAAGTTGGTTAGGTGACATAAATATAAAGAGGGTGGGGTTTGAGTAGAGAGATTCGGAAGATCGGATTTTGCTGGTGAGATCTTTGAAGAGGAAACAAAATCTTACATTGGGTCAAGTGTGATGTTGTGTGTTGGGACTTGTCAGAGGAAAAAAAATAGTAGTAAATGTTTTTGTAATAATAATATGTTTTGTGTCTGAAGGTCAAAATCTTTGGGCACCGAATCTTTTTTAAGATTTCGAACATCTTTGTTTGGTCTGTTTCTTTCTATCAGACAGCGACTACTCGCTCATGACGTGGAACTTTCCTTCTTTTAGTAACTATCTCGATTTTTCGTTATAGACTAGTCAGACTAAAATAATCACCGATTATCCTTTTTAATCTATTTCATTTTATTTTTAGCCAAATTTAGACCAATTGATTTAGCTAATTTTATCATACAGTCGCAAAACAATGTATATTATTTTTAAAATTTGAAATAATCATTTATAGAGATAAACTCTATATTTGTTTTTACCAAAAAACTCTAAATTTGGATAGTATTATATTTTATAAAAATTAGTGATGCTCTATTAAAACCGAATCCAATTAATGATGCCATAACCTTAAGACTTTAGTATTTTATTATATATTCAAATATTACGAGGTTAACTTAAGTTACTCTTGAAATAATTATTTTTCGACAAAAGGGACATTAATTTATTGTTGACATCGTTTTCAGTTTAGTTTCCTTTATTAAATTATTTTGTGTAAGTTGACAAGAAAAAAAAATTGTGTAAAATGCACTCTGTTTAGTGGACCATTATGTGATTTGTGAATCTCGATTGCTTTCTGGACAAAATCTTGACTGAAAATTAAATATGGAAAAAGTATTGGGAAGATCCTTTATGTCTCTATTTCATTTTCAACATCTTCTAAGTTCTAACCAATAGCGAGATGATAGGCAATACAAAGTTACAAACAAAAGATTTTAGTTCGAATTAGTTAGTCATGCAATATAGACTATGTCGATATAAATAGCAAATATACAAAAAATTAAACTACATAAGTATAAACGTATATTACAGACTATAAATAAGCGTCTACCTGTTTCAAAAAAAAAAAAAAATAGCGTCTACCTAAAATTCATAAATAAAAATTGAATAAGTCAATAAGGCTACAACAACATAGATTATACTCCCTCTGTTTCAATATAAGTGTCACTCTACAACTATGCACACGGATTAAGGAAACAATTAATTTTACATATTTCCTATATAAAAACACAATTACCCACACACCTAACCATATTTTAACCAATAGAAAAACAAATTACATAATAAAATTAATAAATTTTGCATTGAAAACCGAAAACGACACTTATTTTATAACACAAAAATTTCTCTACAACGATACTTAATATAAAACGGAGGGAGTATGATAACTTAACGATAAATAACCAACATTTACATGGGGGATCGGGGTGCTAAACTCTAATGTATACTCCTTCCATTTCAAAAATATGAATATTCTAAAAATAATATTTATTTCAAAATAATAAATTTTTTTACATTTAGAATATATAATTTAATAAAAATTTATATATTTCAAAAAATAATTATATTTCTTAAAATTTTATTAATTAGAAAATATAGAGATTTGTTATCTATAATAAATGATGTATCGGTAATCAAAATTTTATAGTTTTTTAATATATGTGAAAAAACTAAACGTTTAGTTTTTTTAAACGGAGGGAATATGTGACTAAGGTAAATCATGATGATTTTAAATATAATAACTATCATGTTTCTTTAGAAAATAACACTCAAGTTGTGTTCTTTTTTTTTTTTTTTTTGCAAATAAGGAAATCCAGTGTACCTAATTAACTCCCAATTATTTTTTTTGAAAAAAATTAACTCCCAATATATAAATATTTAGTGCAACTACTCTTTTAAAGATCAAGGGTAGCAAACTATTACGACGCCCTTATTTTATTTCTTCGTTATCACTTACTTATCACTTTGCAACAAAAGAAATTTCTTTCTTTCATTGTTTTCATTTTAGTTATTAGCTGACCGTCAATTTGTGAAGCCTTTTTGACCAAATAAAGATAGAAAATATCTTCAAAAGTTATGGAAGAGATGATCCTTTATATTTACTTAAAATCTTCTAGTTAATTGCGAGAAACACCTTCTAGCCAATTGTGAGAAGACTTAGTCAACATAAAATAAAAGATTTGGTTTCATAAAATAAGAATCGTCATGCAATTTTGTCCATATCGATTTGATAGGTATCTGAAAAAAGAAATTCCAATACGGTGGCCTTCACTTTTTTTTTTGGTTGAAAGTAAGATGGTTTTCACACCTAATAGCTCCGAAAACAGAATTGTTTATAAAAACAAGTCAATTAAAAGTTGTGGAAAAAGAAAAGTAAAGTATTGTGATGTTTTCCGCACGTTAATCATTTATTTCTTTATTTACACTGGTGTAAAAACATAAGTGAAAAAACTGGAAAGAAAGAAAAACCATCAAATATGTTTCACATTTTCGTACTTTAAAAAAGTTGGTTCGATTCCAAATAAAATATCACTTGCAATGTATAATATATAGAACAAATCTTACTTTCAAAGGTAGTTTTATTTCCTCTAGATTTTGATGTCATTTTTTTTGAACAAACCTTCATTAACTTAAAATAAGAAACTCATACAGAGTTAGAGAGGTTCAACAGGGCTGGCTTAGCTAAACTATCAGCATTGTTAAGCATTGGTAGATGATGAAAAGAGATAGATGGAAAGAAAGAACATAGTATCATGTCAAGCTATTATTACTACAGTTTTTTATATGGAACAAATCTGACCGAACCACCGAAGTCTGTGTAGTAAGTCTTTTGTAAGTCAATAATCTGATTAGTGGTTAGTCTCTCTCATATAGTTAAACTGTTAGTTCTCAAGGTAAATTTACACATCATGAAAGAGTGGACGATGGATATATGATAATCCTTCTGTTAAGGTATAGAGCTAGGTTCGACAACGTTTCTTTACCAGTTTAACTCCTAAACTTGATACGTTTCACTTGTATCTTGAGAACTTAACTAGTGACGTGAGATCTATCAAACAATAAGCAAACAACACAAGCAAATTGTTTACCCAGTCTTCGTTTCCTACTGACTGGGGAGAGAACTAAACTCTCATGCCTTCACTATCATATCGATGAGATACAATAGCTAACCCGATCTAAACCGATCGTTCCTTTTGCAGCTATTACAAGCACTTATACAGAGTATCGTTCGGAGAAGAATACCACAGCGATTGCGACGAGGACGACTCACTATCAGTCTCTGAATCCACCGACGACGAGGACCCGCAACCGTGAACCGGAGAAAGAACGGCGATCTCAAGAGCTGTGAACACTACCGGATCTCTCTATCTTGATCGATCAGCTTTCTCCTTCTCTGTGATAAGCTTCTCCCTTCTGTTTCTCTGAGACTTTCTTGTAACCTCTTTCTTCTGCAACTCCTTTCTCTCTCTTATATCGAAAGAGACGATGTAACGGTCATAACGACTTTAACAACCTCGAAACGATGAGTTTCGATTAATGAATGCCTTTGGGCCTTTTATCTCTAAAGCCCAATCTGAAAGTGTCACTTGTAAGAGCCCAATGCCAGCCCAGTGACCAAAACGACACAACTCCACAAATCTCCACCTTGTCGTTTAGGTTAACTCCACTCAGCCGCAAACACCAAAACCTCTGCGATTTCAACAAAACAGTAACAATGTCGGAATCTCCAAACCACAGTCACACCGGATCAGCAAGCCACTGCGAGTCAAATGAAGAACCTTTACCAGCCCTCCTTCTGAACCCAAACAGCCCTGAACCACCGAAAATCCAAAGTCCTGAACTTCTGATTTACCCCGACGAAACCACAAGATCTCCGACTCTTACCCTTCCTGTAGACTTCAAACCCCCTGAATCTGTTGCTCGCACCCAAAACCTCAATCCAGACGTTTCAAATCCGACTCTTCCGCTGCCAGACGAATCTCAAACCTCAAACTCAGCACTCGAACTCTGTAAGTCACAATCTCCCATAGAGTAGACAAAATACACTTACCGACGAGAACTAACGCTTGAAATCCACAGATAACAACCACCTCAACCTCTTCGGAAACCAACCAGTAACCACCGAGTAAGTCTTCGAACTTAGTTGAGAAAACCATTAGATTATTGTGTTGTTTTTGACCAAGAACAAAATCACTAACCCTTTTGCTCTCTTTTTCTTATACTCCTTCTGATGAGATGACCAAACAACAGGACCATCTCGGAGTATGCACTTGCACGATCAGGCGACGACCCCCAGCGTTACGAGGCACTTCTCGAACGCATTTCCAGGTAACGTCTTTGTCAACATGTCTGCTGGATTTAGGCTAGTGTGTATCTTTAGAACTTTCACTAACCCGAAATCAATAATATCCCTGATAAAATGAATCTTCCTAGCTATATGCTTAGTACGATCATGATGTACCGCATTTTTAGCTAGGCAAATTGCACTCTGAGAATCACAATGAAGTTTAAAACTTTCTGAATTAAACCCCAACTCTTCACAAAATTCTCTCAGCCACAAACCTTCCTTAGTAGCCTCTGATAATGCCATGTACTCAGCCTCTGTTGTAGATAAAGCTACAACATGTTGAAGTGATGATCTCCAACTCACAGTATTCCCTCCAACCTTGAACACATACCCTGTGACTGATCTTCGCTTGTCGAGGTCAGTAGAATAGTCTGAATCACTGAAACCTTCAATACCAAAATCTCCTGATTTTGTGAATGTTAAGCAAATCTCTTTAGCTCCTTGCAAATACCTTAGTATCCACTTCACAGCTTCCCAGTGCTCTCTACTCGGCTTTGACATAAACCTGCTAACCAACCCAACTGCGAAAGCAAGATCTGGCCTAGAACCCACCATAGCATACATGAGACTTCCAACTGCACTTGAATATGGAATTGAACTCACTTCTTTTTCTTCCAACAACCACTC